CACATCCTCGAAATGTAGAAAAAAAAAAGAAAAATTGGATAAAAAGTTTAGAAAGTGCATAAAGGAACTAATAAAATACATTTCAATATAATTAATAAAAGATAGTTATTTCATGGTGATTTGCAATGTATATTTGTTTAAAGCGAATCGTCTGCATATATAATCGATATAAATTTTCAGCGTACGATTTTTAAATCTTATGATACCCAATGCGTTTGCAATATTTGACTACTTAAATATCATTTCTAAATATTGAACAGGCTTACAAATTTCCGATTTTTAAAAATACATATTAATAAATTAAATTGAACTCACATTTTTAAATGAAATTTGCTTATTTTTTTATACCGAAACCGTGTTTTTTTTGTAAATATGAATTGATAAAAGAAGTTTATTGGAGATAGATTTAGAATAGTGTTCTGGAATGTGATTACAAAAGCTATTATATAGGTATTTAAAAAACTATTTAATTACCTTATTGTAGGAATTTGCCTCGTGCTATTTGGATTGCAATGCCGCTAGTGACGGGCATATATGTCCTTGCAAATCTTGCCTACTTTGCCGTGGTTAGTCCTGAGGAAATGGCCGTTACGCCAGCAGTGGGAGTTGTGAGTATTGATCTGTAAAGAATTTCAAAGAAACACTATTAATTAATAATCTACATTAACAAATGAATATATAAATTATTGAAAAATGCGTAACAAAGAAATTATTCCCAAAATTTCTTCAATCAATTAGTTGTGTATTGTATCGACATGTGATTGAGTAAATATAACGTCCATGGATAGCAAAAATATCATTTTCATAATTGCTAAATAAACTTCGAATAAATATAAATAAAAACGCAACGGGCAGAGAATATAAGTACGATTTACAGCAATAATGTTAAATTTTCAGAATCATGACAATTGATTTATCGCGAAAGCTTTCAATTATTTTATATGTTATATCTATATCCTATTAGTTTTAAATTGCAATTCGCAGATCCTTAAATGTAAACTTGCAATGATTATTTAAAAAAACAACTGTTTTTATTCAATAAGAAAACACAAATATAATTTCTTTAGTATTATTCTTTTTGATCAAAGCAAATGTACGGTTTGTCTTATAGCATCTATAATAAGCAGCCAAGAAGTTTTGTTGCACTGTTAATAGTGCATTTTTAAATTAGAGTAGTTTATAAACTAATCTAATTTATTAAAGTCATATTTATGTAGAACAACATTTGGTAAATCCGTAACATTAGCCAATTAATGAAAATATTCAAAAAATATTTCGACAAATATTTTTTTATCTCGATAATTATTTTGCAATGCTAATTATGATGGTTATCATACTTTATTCAAACTTAAGTGAATATGATAATTATTTTGAGTAAAAATATCGGTAACTAAAAATCTGAATTCAGATTAATGAAGTTAAGTTCATTGAACTATCACCATGAAACGCATAATAATCTCATAGCCTGAATTCTTACATATTATTAAAACATTTGATAGTGTGCCAATATGAACAATCTCATATATGTATTCAGAGCTTATCACCAATAGGTAAATTGTTGATAGTTGATCAACAATGCAGAATATATTTAAATGACAATATCCTTTATGTTGCATAGAAACAGATGAGACAAATGTGTGAAATTTGTTTTTTGCATTTCAATGCGATCCTAATGCGTTTAAAAAATTGAAAAATAAGTAGAAAAAAAATTAAATTACATGCATTCATTTTCAGGCGTTCGGCAACAGGATGTTTGGTCCGATGGCTTGGTGCGTACCTGTTTTTGTTGCTTTGAGCACATTTGGTGGAGTAAATGGAATACTTTTCACTTCTGCGCGATTATTTGTAACAGGATCGCAAGAAGGACATTTGCCTGTAGCACTTTCTTTGATTCACGTGCAGAAACGAACGCCGATTGTATCACTACTTGTTACGGTAAAATAGATTGTTATGATAATATATATAGGTAGAAGTCCTTAGGTCCGGCCCCCAACAGTTCGGAATGCCCGATAGTCCGACATTTTTTCGAAAATTCTGTTTTTTTTTTTTTTCAAAAACGTGCTTTTACAGCAAAAAAGTACTAGAGGGCTATTAGAACGTTTTCGGGGTGGCCTGAAATCATTCGGAAGGATTCGCTATTGTTCGGTAATTGTTATGTTCATGGTGAATTCCGTTATGTCTAGGTTCATGAACGAAGTATGTTCTACGAGATACGTAACCCATTCGTTCTGCGAAGGATTCGGTCGTTTTTTAAGTTTGACTACTGATATATGTGTACTGTGGCACAGTACACATATATCAGTAGATTTTACCACCTAACTGTGCAGTGACCATGATCTTAAAACTTAAGCATTGGTATTCAAATGTAGAGAATATACGAATACACGTAACACTAACTTTTAATAAAAAACTAGAAAATATCAAACGGCTAGAAATCTTCAAATTTTTGTTTTTTGTTAAAATTAATAATGCTTTTTGTTAAAAAAAAATTTAAAATAATTTAAATATATATTCCAATAAATGTAAAATGAGCTTTGTTGTTTGTTTTTCGTAATGATTTTTATTAAATTTAATTGTTTTTATAATTACCGCACGACAGTCCGAAATTTTTGATAGACCGTCACAGGGATCGATCCCGAGCAAACCGGACTAAAGGATTTCTACTGATATAATCTTTTTTTATATCTGATCTGTTGATATTTTTTTGCAAAGTGGACCAATGATATTTATAATCGCTATGTTTAAAGATTTTGGTTCCTTTAAACCAAACAATAACAATATGCATTTTCCTTATGTTTATTTTACAATGCATATAATGCTATTTGTATATATATATATATATATATATATAAACTATAAGACTACCTCTGAATCTTCCACTAATGTTCATAATATATATGCTTTCAGTGTGCCATGTCGTTAGTAATGCTGTTAACATCAGACATCTTTCTCTTGATCAACTATTGCAGTCAAATTCTATGGTTGTCAGTAGCAGCTAGCATAGCTGGTTTATTATATTTGAGGCATTCCAGGCCTGATATGCAACGACCAATACGAGTCAACTTAGCGTTGCCCATATTGTTTTTGATGTGTTGTGTATTTCTGGTCATCGTTCCAGCAATTGCTGAACCAGTAAACACACTCATTGGACTTGGAATAACTCTTTCTGGCATACCTGTGTATTATCTATGCATTAAATGGAAGAACAAGCCTGATTGTTACAATAAAAGCTCTGAAAATGTTATTATGTTCTTACAAATGCTGTTCAATTCTGCTCTGGCTGAGACGGAAGAAAAATTATCTACTTAAATTTCAATATTAAAAATAGCGTTCGTACAATCGAGTGGTAAGTTTAGTCTAATGTTAATCAATATTTTTGACTTTCAGCCATTAATTTTCTATAACTACATATACTAGTTGTATATAGTTATAAGTTCATGTTAATGCTATACAATCATTAGATAACTAATCATATACATATATGAATATATGATATGAGTTAATCGAATTAATTGATATTTGTTTCTTACCTAGAATTTACGTGAAATATCTGTTTTAATATGAGTCACCAGCTTGATTATATTAATGTTGTCTTGCTATAGACTGAAAATAGTTTGAAATTTGCTTGTGAGACTACTTTAGGTGCTATTGAGTATAACACGCTTGTCCATATTAAACTACATTAGGCTACTAGTTTATACGTCACAAACTAATTTAAACTTTGGTGAGGCATAACAAATCACTCCTTCACTTTATCATTTTAAACTTAAATATGAGATTACTTTTAATGAAACCATTAATTTGTGAGATAAGCGAAAGAACTAACAGCACCTGAACACTTGTATCAAGTTAAAAAGATAGAAACACAAGCAAATTTATCACCAAAATATCTCCAATCTGTATTAATCTTTAATTTTACCGCTCATATCATTATGATCAATCGTTACTTTTCAAAACTATATATTTTTTTGTAATGACCAAACACAAATTCTGTGTTTACTTAACAGTGATGAATGTATTTTTAGTGACAAATGTGCTTTCTCGGCTCCACTTCTTATTGACTATAATATAATATAAATTTGGACTGAATTCACATGATTAAATGTTATTTTGAAAAGACTGAATCTATACTATGTTGTGTCAAGTCATTCAAGGCTCAATAGCAATAGACTTTCACATGCTATTTCTATAATGAGTAGTTTTCAAGCAATTTTTTTGAATAACACTAGTAACCTATATTCTCAATTGATCTGTCATTCCTTTTCCCTAAGATTGCAGTATTAATCATATATTTTTTAAGATATCGATATAGATACGAACTTATCACAAATGTTAATCACAACAATTTTAGAGTATATGGTTGAAGGCTTTATTCGAATTATCAAGACTTCATTTTGTTATAAATATTATTAATAAGTGTAGTATTATTGTAAAGAGAATAAAAAATAAAAATATTGTTTTCATTACAATTGTTATTAATTTAATTTAAAAGAAAATTTCAGATAATGCTACGAAAAATAAATCTTATTTGAGTATACGGATTATATCTATATGATATAGCTGGTTTCTAATTTATTTCCGATGTGAGGGCTTAATTAATTTTTCAAACAGTGTCTCCATAGTATGATTTCACTTTAATTTGATATTCATTCTAAATGAATACAGAAGTAAATGTAATTGTGAATATATTTTAACATCTATTCAATTAAATTGCTATTGGTTAATCGAATTACCATAAATTCTATAAAATAACTATTTGTATCCACTTAACATCGCTTTTTAACTAAACTTGAGCATTCACATCAGAATACATAATAAATAGTTTAAATCGTACCAAAAAATAAAGATTTACCAAAAATCTTTAATTTTCTTGTTTAATGCTACGCCTTCCAAGATTTATATATATATATATATATATATATATATATATTGATATTTTAATTTATTAATATAAATGGTGACAAAGAAAGCTTGACATTTATGTTCATATATGTCACATCTGATTTCAAAGCTCGATACTTAAATTGGCTAAATTATTTTTAGATATTTTCTAACACTTCCAATAGAATCATGAAAATGTAATTAGTCGATTCTAGATTGATGTAATATCCTGTGCTTAATTTTACTATTTAACAAGTCATTATCAGTTACTTTAATATGTAAAGGTGGTAATAATGCTCCAGCAACGCTGCGACTTTCTGCATTAAGAAAGTTAAATGTAGTGCATGCAACATCAGTAGGTAAAACTTCAACATTAATTCTTTTTGGTCGTAAAATTTCCATAATCCTCTGCCTTAACTTGGGATTAACACTTTCTTGTTCTATACCAATAACAAGAACATCCAATTTTGGATCTAAGGTATAAAATAAAGATAATGAAGCCTCATTTATGTCTTCACTATTTCCTACATTCCATGATAGAACAGTCCTGGAAATATAAATTTAGTTGTAGCATAAAATGTAAATTTAATTATTAAAGAACTGTGAAAGGGAACATTGAACAGAATATGAGCATATATAGTTATACATATATGAATATTTTATGTAAAATCGATAAACAATATACGAGAACACTAATTGAACTGATTATTAAGAAAAAGATAAAAACATTAAATTTGAATAATATTACTATTAGCAAACAAATTAATTCAAAGGTCTAATGATTAGTTTTTTTATATTCATCATATTATGCTATTAAAATAAAAGAAATCAGATTCTCTGCTATAGTATTATAAAAAAATACCTGGGAAATATCGCTACAGGACCCATTACTGAAACACCATTGTTCAGGGAAAAACCAACCTAAAATTAAGAAAACAGCAATAATTTGAAAAGTATATGTTGTTCAATGAGCTCACGTCAGTAAAAGAATTATGGAATTCATCATCAGAGAATAAGAGTCTACTTTGAAAATAAATGTGTAACTTATAACATTTATAAGTTATCTTATATACAAGAATATAAATGTTGTTTTTCAAATATAACAACCCTCTTTCCTCTGTAAGGAGTATTAAATGTAGTAATTCATATTTATTATTTTCATCAATTATAATTACTTATTATTATATTATATTATAATTACTTATAATAAGAATTATTAACAGATTAAAAAAAAAGTTAATATATTAATTAAAAAAGTGGGTTCTACAAATCTTGTGGACACCAAAATCTCAGATAATTAAATAAAAACTTAAAATATTATATATATAAAGTGCATATAAGTAGAAAATAAAATCCAAAGATATTTTCTATAATGTATTACCATTTTGTATGTATGTAATAGAAGTACCATATGAAGTTTCTTCTATTATTAATTTCTGCATTAAGATACTTCCTAATGTGGAAATAGAATGAGTTATACTTTTTGATGTGAATATAAAAAAGTAGAGGTAGGAATTGATTTTTAGTCAACTCGTATTATTCATTGGTCTGTTATCTTTGTGAACATTGCTTTAGAGTCAATTCACAGTTAACAGAAACTTTTTTTTTCGATTTATGAGAGAAAAGATATCTATATCTAAAACATTTACCATGGAATAGCTTATAGTAACTGAAGTAAGTTAAAACTTATCATTTCCAAGCCAAATTTGTCTTTAGGGTTAATAACGTTTCAGTTCTAGGTACTGAGAAATCAACATTAAAATCTCGAGTGTATTAACAAAAGATTTCCAACCGAGCATCCTGAATTTCGTTATGTCTAACAGAATTTCACAATCAAATCAAATATTCTTAGGTAGTTAGTTACAAATTAGTTATTAAATAAATTAATGACAATTGAATCAAATGGGGAATCAAATTGCACTTATTCTGATGACTTTACTTGACTTCTTACAAAATTGATTAAAAGCACCTGTTCTCCTCTAGTAGATCAAATTAAATATTTATAAACAAAAAGAATTAATTGACATATAACAGTTCTCCTGGTAATTCTATTGATAAATGAAAACTTTACTACTTCTACTCTGGTGCACTATATGATAACAAAACATTTAACAATACTTTTTTCAATTCGAATTAAAAATATAACATCAAAAGATCTTAATTGTTAGGCCTTGACATAAAACGAATTGTTATGTCTAAATATACAGATAAATTAATCAATCGAACACAGCTTACTATTTAAAATGTAGTAATATTCCAAATATTACTATATGGTAACGAGTCATTTAACACTACTTTTTTCAATTCAAAATGAAAGTGTAACATCAAATAGACTTAATTATTTGACCTTTAATAATCACATAAAATGAATTGTCATTTCAAATTATACAGATAAATATAAATAATCTTCAAATGACGGTTATAAATATAGTGTTTTATAGTTTTTATCAAGTGATTTATATTAGTAATTTTTATTTAGAGTTGAATATTTTGTTTTGTTCTCTTTATTTAGTGTTATGTATTTTATTATAAGATGTTTACGAACTCTAAAATACTATATCTTTTTTTGTTTATATTTAGCATATGATGTGCACATTATAAAATGTAAATATTTTGTAATATAGCCATAGATATAAATAGATTCGTAAATAAATCAATCAAACACAGCAAATTCCAAATTGGTGCAATATAACTATGAGAACCAGTATAACACATAAAAAATTGTCTTTTCTAAATGTAAAAATAAATCAATCAATCGAACACAGCAAATACCAAATTGGTGCAAAATTGCTATATGATAACGAAAGGTTTAACACTACTGAATCAAAGGTCCTAATATTAGGCCTTCAATGAACACATAGAACAAAATTGTCATTTCTAAATATAAATTGAGACAGATAGTAAAATTAATCAATCATACACAGCAAATTCCAAATTTCACTTCTTCAACATAATTGTTGAAGTTAATACAAAAAATAATTAAATGATACTCACTTGACTATATGAATTAATCATCAGGCCCATTTCGGCATCTTGATTTAATAAACGCAAAACAGTTTTACCTTCGCCATCGTATGCACCTCTTCGCATCGTATAACTTCGTTTTGTTTGTTGAAAACTAGAAATATAAATTTTAATCTTTAGTAAAACATCAATCAAAATAAGTATAATTATAGTATAATTTACCTTGTATTTTTTATTAACTTATTTGTATTAGAATAAATATATTTAAACCTATTAATCATTTTGCCAAACGTATTTGTAATTGTGATGATATTAAAATACTCTCATTATTTCATGCAAATTGTAAAATTAGGTAACGACGAACGTTCAGGTGACATTAAGAGGTTATGTACAACAGCCATTGTTCAACACACTTTGACAGGTGGAAAACATGTGAACAAATTTTCTAGAATTTTGAAATTCTTTAAAGGCTCCATGTAGATTTAAAACCATTTAAAACCTAGATAACATTAGAATATGATATATTCAATATGATTTAAATTGATTAAGCAATGCATCGAATTGTATAATTATTTATTGCAACAGCAATATTCATAATAATTTTCTAAAGTAATTGTTATTTGCATAGTTTTCGCATCGAATCATATGTCTTCATGAATACATCGTATTCTAATATTGTCTAGACTTATATTGTTTAGGATCATTACCCTAGACCAGGGCTTCTTAAACCATGGGTTTGACCCGAAATGGGATAATTCTGGGGTCGCAAGGGTTTTCAGTGTCAAATATTTATGACATCACGTCCACACGTCTAGGTTTTTGTATGTTTTACAACAAATATGCATCTGTATATGTATATTGTTGCCAAGTTAATAAATCATCTAAAAATATATATATTTTTTTTTATTTGTGGAGTCGTCAAGAAACTTGCAATCATAAATGGGATCGCAAAGGACAAAAGTTTAAGAAGGACAAAAGTTTAAGAAGCCCTGCCTTAATATTAGAAAATGATATATTCATATAATTATTTAATGATTATTTATATAATTTTTATATATATTCATGATCATTACTCTCTTCTTTATATATGAAAATACCAACACAATATGATTTGCAATTGAAAAAATGCTAATGCTAATGATGTTTATATATATATATATATATATATATATATATATATATATATATTTGCCTTTTTGTATTATAAACCTATAGCAAAAAACCGAAAGGGAGATATTTGACAACCTAATATATATATATATATATATATATATATATATATATATATATATATATATATATATATATATGCACAAAATGGATTTTATAATTTTTGTTTCTTTCGTTTTCGAACTGATATGGAGTAAATATGAGAACCGATTTTTGGTACAGTTTTTTAATTTTAACGCACAACACCACTGCCTACACAATATGAGAATATAATATATTCATATTTATAAATAATATTTTATATTTATACTTACAAATGATAAAACCATTATACTTAATATCTTCTTACAAATAGCATTTAGCTTTATAAGTGCTAAGTATATACATATTAAATGTTTAATTAAGTGCAATCCAGGCTTTATTGCATCAAAAATATTTCTACCACTTGCTACCGTCACTGCTTATGTTCCACAAGAATCCCTGAAATAAATCTTTTCTTAAAAAAAAAATAATAATTTGTTTATAAACAATTTATTATGTTCAGTTTGTCACATTTTGCAGTATGAAAAATATTTGACTAGATTAGTGATACATGGTAGTACACTAATAATATTTATGATGTATGTGGTACATTATTATCCATTGTAGGCCCCTGTATTCAAGAAAATCTGCAATATGTGCAGGGCGCAAAAATCATCAGGATAATGCCTACTTAAAACCAATTTTATCTGCTCCACCACTTGTGAGAAATCTTCAATGTATTACATCACAAATGTAATAAGATATGCTTTATGTCCTTGCGCTTTTTAATTTGCTTTATAAAGACATTAAGTTAATTACTGTATTCCATTATCCTCATCTTCTAGAATTTGTAAAATGAATTTGTTTACAAATTATTCTGTATTGTAACCACCCAAGACTTCCATTCACTTTCAAATCTCAGACAGTAAAATAGAAAAAATCTTTCTGCTCACCTCTGTTATCATTTGGGTCCTGTTATAATATATATTTCAAGATTTCAAAATAATTCACTATTATTTGAAATGAAATAAAGTAGATCAATTAACGTTTGTATTTCTGTGTGCGCGTACATGCAAATTAAGCGCAGCTCTTTGTCTAAAACATTGCTCACAAAACGGGCACTTAAATGGTTTTTCTCTAGTATGTACTCTTACGTGTGTATTCAGATTGTATTTAGTTTGGAATGCTTTCGCACAAAACTGGCATTTCCAAGGCCTCATTCCCGCATGAACATTCATGTGCTTATCTAAGTAACGTTTTGCAATAAACCGTTTATCACATAATGTACATTGCAGAGGCTTAACATCTAGATGTGTTTTAAGATGTATGTTTAAATGATTTGAGCGACTGAAGGCAGCTCCACATTTCTCACATTTGTATTGTTTTAGTTTGGGCTTTTCAGCATCTCTATGAGCTTTCATATGGGAATGAATGCGTTTCACTAATGCACCGCAAAGATAACACATACTTATTGGGGAATTATGTTTATTAATATTATTTGCTGATTCTTGATTTTCTTTTAATTGGGGTACTTTGGAAATATCTTTTTGACTACTTGTTTTGATGGATTCTTGTTCATTTTCTATTTGGGATACCATTTTGGAAAAAGAAATAGACTCATCTTTACCTTTTTCAGAATCTTCATCATTAGATGTTATTGGCACTTCTTGAATAACTTGATTTGGTTGCCTTGGTTTTTCATCAAGGTTTTGTTCTAATATCAATTTTTGACGAAATTGACAATTTACATATTCACACTGTTGTTGAAAAGCGTAGTACATTAAAAGTTTGTAATGACATTCTTGACAAATCTTAAAGGGTAATCTATCATTTTCATCAATTTCAATATTTATACATTTTTGTATTATTACTCCTAACGTTACACCGTTTTCAACATATTGTTTACTAAATATTTCCAATGCTTTCTCGTAATGAGGTTGAGAACACAATCGGCACAAATCATCAAACATTTTCACACAATTTAATTTCCATGTATTATATATTAAAGCAAAAAGTCAAAGATATGTTTTAGACATTGTTTTAATGACAGACAACTTTTAAACGAATGTTAAAAAATATGTAAACCTAGTTTAATTGACAATACAAAATGATAGTTCCATCTATTGGTAGAAAAACACAACTTTCGGTTTGTAATAAATTAATAACTTTAACTTTCAACTTTAAATTTAACTTTCTAATGGATTAGAAACATTAAAATGTATATAACTAGTGGCATCGTGCCTTAAGGCAAATTGCTGAAACTTCCCGTACCGTAATTAAAAATCTTGGTACGGAACCCAAAAAAAAATTACACAAAATGTGTACACATTATTAAAATTTCTATAAAATATCTGAGGATTTGATGTGCACATGTCCAATAATCATTTTTGACCGCTAAACGACATTTTTTTAACTTATTTTTATTGAGAGTTCATAACCGCTGGACCTGCCTTCCCAAAAATTTAATCATTTCTTCACCTTATCGATACAAGTAAAATGCTCTTTGAATTATTAAAATCCGTTCTTTTGAAAACTGAGTTACCATTTTTGGCACTTTTTGCCCCGTATCTTCGGAACGGCTAGACCTGCCTTTGCCAAAAATTAATCCGCACGTCTGCTTCTAAATACGAATCGAATGTTTTTTTAATTATTCAAATCGGTTGATCGGTGTAACCGAAATCGTCGATGAAAGTTTGTATCTGCACACATACACATCCATTTTTTCTAAAAGTTAAAAATAATGTTATGTTTATAAGAAAAACAATTTGAAAAAATGTGCAGAGAACATTGGCATAGCCAAATGCAATTTGATAACTGAAATTCGTTTGAAACTAAAAATCTAAAATATTTATTTAACATAGATTTTAAAACAGTTAAAGTTGCATCAACAAGAAAACATATTGCCAATGAGATTTTACTCATTTTTAACTCACTTTTTGCCTTAAGTTAAAAAAATGTAATTTTGAATAAATTTTTAACTCGCTCAACATCAATAGACAAACCCCGTAAGTGTAATAACAATTTGATTCTGGCATTTGAAAATCTAGATGATAATTCAAGTTGAAACATGGTCAATTTATTTTCTTAGTATGATATATTTCATAAAAAAAAGAACTGATAAAATAGTATTGACCAAATTTCACAATTTATTAATAGAGTATGTATATTATTAAACTTTATGCAACCACATTTTACTAATTAATTTTTTTTTTATACTATAATTTAAGCATTAAAGAATTATGATATTTAGTAGAGATAAATTGAATAAAAAATGAATTGTGCTAGTTTCTATATACTCGTTCATTAAAATTTGTTATTTATATACATTTTGCAATACTCGTAATAAAAAGAGCATAGATATAAACAGTAAAGTTTCTTCAGAATGATCGCTTTGTGAAAAAGTAACTTATCACAATTGTGTTATAAAACAGTAAATAGAAAATGTAGAGTAATTGTAAGATTCTATTTACTTTAAATTTTCAATTTTCTTACCTTAATATGATACCATTAACATTTAAGAATATGTCCCCAATGTCGAACAAAAAAATCAAAATCTTAAATACCATTATTATATTAATATAATGCTGGTATAGTATTAAATACAATATTGTTGTCAAATCCTTTGACGAAGGTGATACAAATACAAAATATAACTTACTTTTAAATATTGTAATCCAATGACACTGCTTCTAACGACAGTTAGAAGGATCGTTCTGCTCATAACGACAGTTCGACAAAATCAAAATAAGATAAATACGACAACAACCAGACTACACATAAAAAGTAAGTGAAACTGCCTGTACGGGGGTCATTCAACAAGTACTTAGCCTCACCAAAAAGTTTCAGTCCTCGAGAAAATATATTGAAAAAGTTGGAGCAAGATAAATATGACAACAACCAGACTGCACATGAAAAGTGAAACTGCCTGTACGAGGGTCATTCAACAAGTACTAAGCCTCACCAAAAAGTTTCAGTCCTCGAGAAAACATATTGAAAAAGTTGGAGCATCGCTGGACCAAATGTATCAAGCTTGAAGGAGATTATGTTAAAAATTAAGTTGCCACTCCTCTGTGGCTGTCTCGTTCTCATTTGTAGGCTAGGCACTTGATGAATGACTCTCGTATTAGACACCTGAAAAAGCAATACAAAACAAAATTTTAGAAACATTTACTTTATTATGTTTCCTTTATTACAAGTATATGTTCAGGCTATAGAGCTTGCATTAGATGCGATCCTGGGCCACAAATCTGCGCATTCCTTTGCTACTGGACCTGTGATAGCGGAGCCTTTCATTTCACCTTTGTTGTTTACTATGACCCCAGCATTATCTTCGAAATATATGAAGACACCATCACGCCTTCTGAATGGTTTTCGCTGGCGAATGACTACTGCTGGCATAACCTTCTTTCTAAGTTCTGGTTTACCTTTCTTTACAGTAGCAACAATCATGTCACCAGATCCTGCTGCAGGTAATCTGTTCAAACGTCCTCCAATTCCATGGACAGCAATTACGTACAAGTTCTTGGCCCCAGTGTTATCGGCACAATTAATAACAGCTCCGACAGGCAGACCCAAGGAGATGCGGAATTTAGCTCCGGCTGAACCACCACGTCCTCTTTTAGACATTTTTAATATTTATATGTGCAAGCACAAACTTATTTTAATGTGTACAGAATCTAATCAATTCTGTAAGAGGATACTATCATTAAATATTGACAACACGTTCTACTTCGGTGAAACACGTTTTCGAAAGGATGATCTCAAGCGGCCATGTTGTATTGCAAGATTTAGTAGTGTTGCCGCATATAGAATTATGTTGGTCACGGCGACTTACATGAAGTTAGGCAAGCGAGGGAATATTTAAAATAAATTTGTGTTTTGCTCTGCTACTTTGTCACCTTAATATATTATAGGGAAATAATATAATAACATTTAAACTTATATAACTTAATATATACATAACATATTTTTAATATAGCACAATGATATATAAAATTTATCATCAAAAATGACAAATTATCACATACTATAACTACTTTTAACAGAAAAAAACCGACAGTGTACTCTATATAGTCTAAACTTATCTTATTATGATAAAACTTAATTTATATTTATTATCAACTTTTGTATTTATATAATACGTTTTTTACATTACTAAATGATGACACACATTAAGCGTCAAAACGTTTAATGGAATAAAAAAAATCTATTTAATCTTTTTTTAATTTGACGATTGGGCTGCAAAAAAATATTAAATTAAATATATATTATATATATATATATATATATATATATATATATATATATATAAATGAATAGCAAAATGTGTTGGTAAGCGCGTAACTCAACAACGCCTGGACCAATTTGGCCAATTCTTTTTTTTAAATGTTCGTTAAAGTCCCAGGATGGTTCTTACGAGGAGAAAAAATCGAATAATTGCCGGGAAAAGCCTAAAAACAGCCCCTTTCTTTTCCACATACAAACGTTTTCTAACTAAAACGTAGAATCAATTTGAGTTTTAATTGTTTTATAATGCGTAAATAAATAAGGTGAATTAGAGAGTTTATAAAGGTAAACTGGTGGACGGGAAAAATGGTAGGAAGAAAAACTGGTAGATAGACAAATATGTAAACAAAATAGTAGATTGACAAACGGGTTCATAGGTAAATTAGTAGACAAATTGTTGAATAGGTAAATTGTTGAACAGATAGTAGTAACGATAAACTAAATGTAACAAATACACATCTTTGTTCAACTTTTTAATTTTGAATTAAATCACATCAAAGCGTGAACGGGTACAGCTAGTATATATATATATATATATATATATATATATATACATGGTCTGTTCAAAAAGTACCCGGAATTACTAATAATTAAATTTCGCGGGTCTGGAGTGTCTGATTGTCAAAATTTTTTTTTTATTGTGTTGGTATACATGCCCCTAAAGTATGATGAAATTTTCAGCTATATTCACTGTTTACTTTGTCTGTGGTAGTCGCTAAGGTTCGACGTGTTTTTCTGAACTCGGCGATTTTTACAATGGAAGAATTGAAAAAGTCAAAGAATTTGTATTAAATTTTGCGTAAAAAATGAAATAAAGTGTTGCAAAGTGCAAAAATTCACCAGATATGGCTCCGTGTGACTTTTTCCTATTCCCAAAGTTGAAGAGACCCATGAAAGGACGGCGGTTTTCCTCGATTGAAGAAAATCGCCGAGAGTGCTCAAGGACATATCAAAAAGTGAATATCAAGGGTGCTTCGAAAATTGGAAAAAACGCTGGCATAAGTGTATTATATCTGGGGGGGGACTACTTTGAAGGGGACCACATTAATGTAGACGAATAAATAAATATTTTTTTGCAAAAACGAAAATTCCGGGTACTTTTTGAACAGACCTCGTATATATATTATGTTTTATTATATCGAGAGCAGTGAAACAATTTTACAAGTAAGCTAGTGGCATGTTGCATTCCTATTTTGTACGACCAAAATGTTCACTCATGAATAAAATTGGTAACTAAAAATATAGATATAGTACACCCTGAGCTACAACTTGTAATTTTGAACAAACAACGTAATAGTACATATTTAATAGAGAGATATAGAAATTTTAAATAAAAAAATAATTATTTACATTTCACAGTGTTATGATTGTTTGATTTCTTAGAAATAACCATAAGATGTTTTTTTATTAATAAACTGAAGATATATAACTGCAGATTTTTATTTTTTTTCTCGAAACTTTTTATTACGCAATTATTACAACAATTATAAGTATTTTACCATTATACAGTCCTAAAAAAATGCGCCAAATTTTGGTGAAACTTGCCAACACACTTCAGTACATTTCTCAGTAAAAGATCTCTAAAAGACTAATTTTAATAATTAATTAAAAATTTAGAAATTTGAGTTTGATTTTTTGTTAAAAAAAATTCTTGAAACCTGGGGCAAATGCGTAATTATTTTTGACTGTGGTCCTAGAAATATATTTCTCAGTGACGGTTCCAAAATTTAAATAAACATAATTAATAGAAATCAATCTCAATAACCAAAAAATGGTCACGATTTTACCAAAGCTTTAAGTTGCACTGAAAAGCTCATAATTACGCCTCAAAAAACGTGAAACGTTTGACGTTGAGTTCTGGGACACTCATTACTCTTCTTTATCTATGACTCACAATCAGCAATTAAACAAACAATATATACTAGTATATATTAAATTGCTTAACAACGCAATTTATTGTTTATTTAGACTATATGCTAATACTTCTTATTTGTCTTTTATCAATTTATTGTATTAATTATTAAAGCAAGAGAGGGATCTTTATTATTTTTTGTTTTATAATTATTTTAACAAACATGTGAATAATAGATTTAAATACCATTTACCAATATACAGTATGGTATAATTTAAAAATTTAATGAAAAATTAAGTAATATTTATACGAGGTAGTTTGCGGTACCGCACCACTTCTCAATAAATTTAATCACTTGCGGCACCTTACTATTAGGCGCCATTTTCGAGGCGACTGTTATCTTGCTCCAAGCATCACGATTGGCAAGTTTAGATGATCTTTGAAAAGTCACCGGCTGTTTGCCACCCACTGGATAACCACATACAATACATGGAGAATCACCCAACGTCAAGGTTGATTCATACAGTCCCCTTGAATCCAAAGGCAGCACCTAAATTACAATAATATTAAAAAAATCTATTAAATGTAATCTAAATTTGTCCATTGCAATTTTGCAATTTTTCACCTGATCAACTTTTTGATCCATGCTTACAGCCAATATCCATTCTCTAACCTCATCGTGTAGAGCTACATCTTTGGCCAAATGCAATTGCGTTGGAAGAGGTATCGAACTTGGCCAATCGGTGGACGTCAAGTCAGAATGGTCAACTAATAAGCCTAATATATAATAATTAATGAGGCATTGCATAAAATGGTAAATACACATAAATCGTTATATTCAAACTTAATTTATTAAAGCATATGAGGCATGCACGAGACCTTTAATTTATTAATCATAAGTAAAATTTTGAATTTGCTTTATTTGAATTAGTTAAAGTTACCTTCGCCTTCTTCGATTGATTCACACAAATCTAAGTAATGGTTCAATAAAACAAATGCTTCAGATTCTCTTCCGATTGCCCGTAAGTCCATACCAGCTTCATAATATCCTAAAAATTTAAATATGCATATCATTGAAACTTTTTACTTTATAAATTACATAATGTGATTTATTATCACCGAATAATTAATGCAAATCATATTAGAAAGGATATGAAAGCCATATCTCTATTTATATCCTAGTCAGTGCATTATTATGCCTCTAAATTTTTAAACATGTTGGAAGAGATTAGCAAGAAATTGCATTGAGATTTAGAAATGTTGTTTGTGCAATCATAGTCAACTCAATAATCACCTTTATCAGCAGGTATGATATCAGTATGTCGAAGAAGAGCAAGTGATAATTTTGTTCCTATTAGAGACAAGGCTGGTACTGATCGGCAAGCGTGACGAACTGCATAGTAATGTGCTATTAGTAGAAATCGTTCAAACTTAGAAAAAGCCTCTCCTTGTGTTTCACCTGATAGACGCATTTTGTCTGTCTGCAAATATAAATTTTCATATAAACTAAACTATATATTATTTTGAGCTAGGGTCCATAAGGAGAAAGATTAAGTATAATTGTTCGAACAAGTTTTATTATTGCTTTTAGTCAGCGCCTTACATTAACATGATCTATAAACCGTATTTTAAAGAGTCAAAACAAAGAAAAAGAAAAATTCAATACAAAATAAAGATCGCATCAAAAATTTTTGTTAACTTCGTTTAAAAAATTATGTTTTGTTATATAATTTTATATTTTATTCATGAGCATTGTTTAAATGTTTATGTTGTGTCGTGTCACATATTATTGTTATTAACGACAAAAAAAGTCTTTATAAACCTTTATAAACTTTATAAATTTTGGTGTTTATAGCAATTGTTTTTTAACCTATTTTTATGCCAACAAACCAGAGACGGCTGTGACACTCTCCCTCTTCTTGTATGATAATTTCATGACTAATCCATCGTAAATATGGACAGTATTTTAGTACTTCCACGTAGACAAATGTTCAAATTACGATTTAAGGGGCACAAATAGTGTAACCGCCTTAAAAGGTGATTTTTGGGAATTTATATTAAAAACACTACTCTATCAATCATTTCAAAATTTTAGGAGTATATTTATACATGTTTTAAGAATACAAAGCAAAATTTTTGAAAAAAAGAATTAAATATTTTTTAAGTTATCGTCGATCTCCAACGGCGCGACAAAGAAAAAGGCCCTTCACTGCTGCAGTGATTCCGGCCATCTGCGTGGATAAAATTTAAAAAAAAAAATTCTCGGTGAATTAGATAATATTGTCTGTAAAATGAACTACGATAAAGAAAAATTCAAAAATTGACAAAATGACGGCGTTTTTTAGAAAAAAGTCGAATTTTACCCAAAATTTTGGTCGTTTTTGGACTGCCAAAATTCGATTTTTGATCCGATCAAAAAATCGATAGTTCATTTTACGGAGAACTATATATAGAACATGTAAAAAAATTTGATAGTGATCGGATCATTCGTTTTTGAGTAATCGCTGCAGCAAATTCGGAAAATGCTGTTTCGAGAAAAACGCGTTTAAAGATAAAATGATCGTTATACTATATACTATTTATATACTCTTTAAATGGCTGTGACTCAACAACTATTTAAGATATCGATTTAAAATTTTGATATGTTATTTTTAAAGGTATAACCTATCGAAATATGGAAAAATTGAAAATTCGATTATTTAAAAATTTCACACTAGTTGTGCCACTTAATTTACTTTTTTTACAGCTGACTGGTAAATTGACAAAATTATCGCTGATCATAAAAAGGTGACAAAACCGTACCCAGACTCAGCTACTTATTTTTTTGGATTAAATATTTTTAAAAATTATGTATAAGAAAACATTTAGTATACTTCTTATTACATTTAGTGTGAAAGTAGTATTTGTCAAAACATTACCAAGTCATACATCATGTTTCTTAGATCTTGCCAAAGTCTGCCAGCGTTTTCTTCACGCATGGAAAACATTTCGGTGGCGATGCGGGCATATACATTATAATTTTGGGCAAGATCTGGAACCCCATATTCTGTATAGAGAGTAAGGGCTGCTGGAGCACCGCTTGGTTCGTCTTCACTCTCATCAGATTGGCGTAGAAGGTGCGCGGCATAAAGTGCTACATATTTGTGAAGAAGTTCCGGGCTATGTTGGCGTGCTTTGTCTATGCAACGCGTCCATTGGCCTTGTTCGCATAGTAAATCCAAAGCACCTATTATATCTGTGATAAAGTAATGATACATTATATTATAAACAAACCATATTGAGCAAAATTGATCTCAAACATTATACAACGACATCATTCATTTTTACAACTGGGGCTGTTGAGAAGTAAGGTAACTTAATTGTAATACATATAGTTATCCCAAAATTTGAAGTACCGGATATAGAGTAAATAATTTAAATGTTTCATTCCAAAGTGCATATAGCATATTATTATCATTTGTTTTGTTATCTAATGTTTTATTTGTTATTTAATTTGGTTTATTAAATTTTTTTTTTATATTGACTCTTATATTTATGACGCATTGGTTGCATGCATGTTATAAAATATATAATATAAACATTTACCAATATCAGCCAGCTGATCAGCTCTTCCTTCAGATTTTAGTTGATTTTTCTGCTGTTTATCAACATGTGCCAGAAGAGCCATTGTTGGATCTATCTCTTTAGCCAGTCGCCTAGCTCTGCCCCAGTCGTCAGCCGCAATGAAACAATCAACTGCTTCTCGAGGCATATCTGCGCCAAGATATAGCTGCGCTGCTGGACCATATTGTTCCAATTGCAGTAATCTAAAGGATAATTAAATCATATTTTAAAAGTAAATTGAAAATATTTGATGAAATTTTCAATAAATTCGAATCATTTCTTTTGTTAAATTTTTTTTTAATCCAATCAAAATAGATTGCAAAAAACGAAATATAATATATTATTATTAACAAATATCTCCCTTCCGCTTTTTTGCTCTTGGTTTATAATACAAAAAGGCGGAAGGGAGATATTTGACAACCTATTATAAACCTTACATTCCGATACTAGTAACAAGTTGACTCTTATTATTAAACAGTTCAAAATATTGAGTATCTATTATATTTCATAATATTATATCATACGAGTCTCTAAAGTTCGAATTAAATTGTTGTATAAAAGTGAAATTTATGGATATAAACTCTGATAATATGAACAAAGTATATTTCTCACCTTGGGCCCAGTTTCATAGCTATTTCGATGGCATCTCTGCCTTGTAAAAATTGATTGCAAATATCCGCAGCCCTAAGCATAGCAGCCTCAACGGTGCCAGTATCTACAGCTGGTGCATTTAGTAACATTAAAGTATCTACAGATTTCCTAAATTCACCGGCCCGAGCAAATTCTGAAGCCTAGAATTAAAAAAAAGTAGTTTGCTAAACCATACCAATTAACAAATACTGAGTTGTAAATTATGAGTATTAAAATAGTTTTGCGATGAAACTAAAAATATATGATAGGAAGACAAGAAAATTTTATACTTAAATGCATTGTGTTAATATTGTACTGATCATCATATATTATACCTTTGTCAAAATCTGTTTGGAGTCAACATATGCTTCTTTAGATGCATTATCAGTTCTTGAAGAATTTTGAGATGGCATGTAGCGATCATATTCCATTTGCAAAGTAGCGACCATTGTCGGTACATATTCTTTGCAAACACGCAGAGCATCAGCCCACATATCTATATCAATATGTAATATAATAAATCCATAGATGCATAGATTATATAAATGGTATCATAGACTGAGAGCCAGTGAACCTTTTGAATAACGGTGTTCCTGTAAGGCTGAAAATTTTTGTACAGGTGATTCTTAACGTGCTAAGTACGGAAACGACGGTCTGGCAGGTTTTAGCCCTGCACATCATGGTCGTCCAGGCGTTTGAAAGTGTAAAAAATACCCGAAAATTAAACTTGTTCCTGTAAGGTTCAAATTTTTATACGATGTAATTCACTCATTGAGAAGTTCGAAAATCAATCTGCCAGACCATTTCGACCTGCACAAGTACCTGCCAGACGAGCCGGAAAGTGAGCAAAAAATGCCCCAAAATAAACTTTGTCCTGTAAAGCTGGAATTTACATATGTGTTTATCTAAGTAATTCGAAAAAGGTCTGTGCAATTGCCAGACCATTCTGGCTAGCATAAGCCCTTGCCAGACGAGGGCAAAAATGCTATGGCGGGAGGACGAGTAATAGGCGTTGCGTGAAAACTCAGCATATATTCAAACGATATTATGAGAAATTACAATTTATATAAAATATTACAAATTTAAAAAGGTCTGTGCAATTGCCAGACCATTCTGGCTAGCATAAGCCCTTGCCAGACGAGGGCAAAAATGCTATGGCGGGAGGACGAGTAATAGGCGTTGCGTGAAAACTTAGCATATATTCAAACGATATTATGAGAAATTACAATTTATATAAAATATTACAAATTTAAAAAGGTCTGTGCAATTGCCAGACCATTCTGGCTAGCATAAGCCCTTGCTAGACGAGGGCAAAAATGCTATGGCGGGAGGGCGAATAATAGGCGTTGCGTGAAAACTTAGCATATATTCAAACTATATTATGAGAAATTACAATTTATATAAAATATTACAAATTTAAAAAGGTCTGTGCAATTGCCAGACCATTCTGGCTAGCATAAGCCCTTGCCAGACGAGGGCAAAAATGCTATGGCGGGAGGACGAGTAATAGGCATTGCGTGAAAACTTAGCATATATTCAAACTATATTATGAGAAATTACAATTTATATGAAATATTACAAATTTAAAAATTTTAACATTACCGCCTATGTGTTGATCAGCTCCGTTTGCATCCTCCTCAGCAATACGAAAAGGATGTTGTGATATTATTTCAAAAATTGAAGAAGGAACAACGGTATCTCCCATGAACCAATTGAAATCAAATATTTTTTCAATCAATATCCAGCCAGTATTTTGAGGTTTAAGAATTGTTAGTACTCTTAAATGACTATTTGAAAACTATATCTACTCGTGCGGCATGTGCTGCCATTATTTTTTTGAAATATTACCAAATGTTTTTGGTATATTTTTCATTGAATGCAGTAAATAAAATCCATCGAAAACAACAGCATCATACCAAATTGTTTCGTAATCAGTTATATTTAGTTTCGTTATCAGTTGCTCGTAAGACTTCAATCATTGCTGATTTCGCGGTTTTATAGATAGTTCCATCTGCGTGGCAAAGTGACATTAAAACTAGTTGGTATTCGTATTTTGCCTTGAGGCAAGTTACATAAACTTCCCGACTTAATCAATAAAAAATAAATTAATTTATGAGTGATTAAAAGTATTACGAGTGGATTTATTGCAGATAATTGAAAACGAACGATCACGACGTTAACTCGGGGTATTTTCTAAAAGCAAAGAACCAGTTTTCGTAAGATTTCAATGGTTCAGTATGTTCATTAAGACCAAGTACTCTGGCGTTATACCAAGTAAATTGTCTAAGTTTAATTTTAACAAATGTGAAATTAACTACTTATTTTCTCAAACTTTGATGAATTTTTAAAATTAAACTACTTGTCGTAATGCGGTAAATTCTCACTAAATTCTATGAGACCATGATATATATATCCCCCAAAAAAATTCCATGAAAATCGGCTTAAATTTTGTTATCAACAGTTAATTACAAGAAAACGGCTCGGTAGATTTTCACCTAAAACTAATCAGTATCATTCCCAACTAATATCTTTCGAACAGTTTTTTGATTTTTTAAAATCAATTCGGTGGTATGAGCTTAAATGTGGACGAAAAGTTTAACAATTTCTCCAAATTACAAAGAAACGGCAGATCGTCGCACTAAACAGACAAACGATAGTCCTCATCGAGGTACATCAAATGGCTTTTGAATTTCTGAAATGGGTTCAGGCGTTTTTGAGCAAACGTCGATAAAAGGTCTAATTTTGATAAATGCCAAAAAAGCGATATTATTTTTTGCAAATTTTGATGAATTTTTAAATCGGTCCAGTCGTTTTTGAGAAAACGTCGATTTACTTACGGAAAAAAATCTGTTCACACATACATACTTTTTCCAAATTTGGTCTCATTCGATTCAGAATGGCTTGAAACGTCGAGAGAACATAAAATTAACGAATCAGATTTTTTGATGAAAACAAACTTTTTCGGGAAGCTAACAATTGTAATGGGATATGATAATATTTTTTCAAGATCAATATTTGCTAATAGGCGACCAACCAAATCACGTTGGACACGAATTTCGTGAATTTCATTATTAGCTTTAATAGGTTTCTTCTTTTTTTCTGAAGAAGAAATTCATAATTTTTACCTGTGAAATTTTTTCTTCAAATCTCTTACCCTCCGTTGAACATTCAGAAATGAATGTTTTTTTTCCAATTTTCACCTATTTTCATAAAATTCAATAGCTACTCGATAGAAGCCTGAATTGAAGTATTAATTAGCGATATATCTGATAATGATGATTAATTCATGATGATATATATTTCATTGTAACTAATTAAATTTATTTTGACCATAGTTTGCAATTTCTTATAATATAGTTTGAATATATGCTAAGTTTTCACGCAACGCCTATTATTCGCCCTCCCGCCATAGCATTTTTGCCCTCGTCTGGCAAGGGCTTATGCTAGCCAGAATGGTCTGGCAATTGCACAGACCTTTTTAAATTTGTAATATTTTATATAAATTGTAATTTCTCATAATATAGTTTGAATATATGCTAAGTTTTCACGCAACGCCTATTATTCGCCCTCCCGCCATAGCATTTTTGCCCTCGTCTGGCAAGGGCTTATGCTAGCCAGAATGGTCTGGCAATTGCACAGACCTTTTTAAATTTGTAATATTTTATATAAATTGTAATTTCTCATAATATAGTTTGAATATATGCTAAGTTTTCACGCAACGCCTATTATTCGCCCTCCCGCCATAGCATTTTTGCCCTCGTCTGGCAAGGGCTTATGCTAGCCAGAATGGTCTGGCAATTGCACAGACCTTTTTAAATTTGTAATATTTTATATAAATTGTAATTTCTCATAATATAGTTTGAATATATGCTAAGTTTTCACGCAACGCCTATTATTCGCCCTCCCGCCATAGCATTTTTGCCCTCGTCTGGCAAGGGCTTATGCTAGCCAGAATGGTCTGGCAATTGCACAGACCTTTTTAAATTTGTAATATTTTATATAAATTGTAATTTCTCATAATATAGTTTAAATATATGCTAAGTTTTCACGCAACGCCTATTATTCGCCCTCCCGCCATAGCATTTTTGCCCTCGTCTAGCAAGGGCTTATGATAGCCAGAATGGTCTGGCAATTGCACAGACCTTTTTAAATTTGTAATATTTTATATAAATTGTAATTTCTCATAATATCGTTTGAATATATGCTGAGTTTTCACGCAACGCCTATTACTCGTCCTCCCGCCATAGCATTTTTGCCCTCGTCTGGCAAGGGCTTATGCTAGCCAGAATGGTCTGGCAATTGCACAGACCTTTTTCGAATTACTTAGATAAACACATATGTAAATTCCAGCTTTACAGGACAAAGTTTATTTTGGGGCATTTTTTGCTCACTTTCCGGCTCGTCTGGCAGGTACTTGTGCAGGTCGAAATGGTCTGGCAGATTGATTTTCGAACTTCTCAATGAGTGAATTACATCGTATAAAAATTTGAACCTTACAGGAACAAATTTAATTTTCGGGTATTTTTTACACTTTCAAACGCCTGGACGACCATGATGTGCAGGGCTAAAACCTGCCAGACCGTCGTTTCCGTACTTAGCACGTTAAGAATCACCTGTACAAAAATTTTCAGCCTTACAGGAACACCGTTATTCAAAAGGTTCACTGGCTCTTGGTCTATCAGCATATAGAAATAATGTAAAGACATGATGATATAAACTTAGATTATAATTAACAATTTGTTTTACAAATGATCATTAGTTTTTTTAAAATGGTCGTACTTACTTGCATCTCGGTATCTCTTAATTATAAGCTCTGGTTGTTCAGCTCGTATGAGCAGTGCTTCAAATTCTGAAAATCTTTTCTCTTCAAACGATTCCATGGCCTGCATAAGTAGTACTTCGGTAACACTTTCTGGGGCATGTGCTTTGGCTACTCTCAGAGCGTTGAACCAATCGCTATTGTGGGTGTACCTGCATAACAAAAATGTTGAAAATATGTATTGTCAAAAATAACATTACCTAAAATTATTTGCTAAATATAATGATTTTTATACGCTCACATCATAATGGCTTCTTTCGGTTTTTCTGCAAGTATAAACTCTGCTTCTGCTTGTTCAAACTTGCCGTCATCTTCAAGAGCCATAGCAAGCTTTAGGTGTACATCTCCTGCTGGTCTATTACCAGCTTTGCACAAGCTGATTGCAAAGTCAAATTGATCAGAATCACAAGCGTATGTTATACATTGATCCAACAGATTCATTCTATTCAGCAAACGCACTGCAGAGTCCAAATGCAATGATCTAGAAGAATAAAATATATTGTTCAAGTAAAAATACTTCTATTAACGTTGCTTAAGACGGAAAAAAATTCTATTGGTCAATATATGCATTCAAATTAGCAGTAATCATAAGAAAACTGCTATCTAATTATGATTAATATTGCATTATTAATTGCAATGCATATAATTACATGTTTTCAAAATATTGTTAAAAGTTTCTTTCTTTAACCAAAAAGAAAGTTCTATATCTTGGAAATAGAAACCATAAAAAACCGAGCCAGTTTTAAAGACAAATTCCAAGCGTTGGAGAAGGCATTTCATGGAACAGTTTAAATTACAGATATGCTTTGTTTTATTACCTGGCCCAAAGAAAAGCAACTTGATTTGCAGAAAGTTCTCCACCATATTGCTTGGCAGTGCGATGTGCGTCTTCCCATTTGTTGGCAGTGCGGTACGCGTTGACGGCGGCGCGCCAATCTCCAGCCGCCAAGAAATGTTGTTCCGCTTGTCGTAGACGGCCAGAAGATTCTAACTGACGTGCAAGGTGTAAATGTGTGCTACCTAATAATGAAAAGGATAATAGAAATAAGCATCAATTTACTATTTTTGCAAAACTCAAAATGGTTAGTAGATAATCTTATGTATAAGCCAAAAATGTATCTGTTGCTAAGAGTTTTCATAAAGAAGCTTTTTATGTATGAAGTGAAATGATTTGCAATTTGTTACAACTATTTACGAAAAAACCTGAATGCTATGTTATGAAGAGTGCAAATAATTAGGCTTTTGTGTCTACATTGAGATCATATTAATACTGAATTTTATCATATTTAAAACCCTTTCGTTTTTAAGAAAACTGAATTACGAGATGAATGAGAATTATTATTGTATTAGTTGAATAATTAATTATTATATTTACCCAGCAAGTCCTTGTGATATTTTTCCACCAGGCGAATCATATGATCAAACAATTCCAATCGTTTATACATTGCAATTGCGAGATCTGGTTCGTTGATTGCAAGTAAAACTTGTTCTGCCTCTCGTAATTTATTTGAAGCTTCAAACTCTTGCGCTTGTTCGGTATACATTTTAGTGACTTCTTCTGAATCTAAGTAACTAACAAATAAAAAACATATATTAGTTAATGTTATTTTTCCACTGTTTGTTATACCATTCAATATTAGTTTATTTTATTATACTAACTTCTAAAAACACAATATTAGATATTACAAACTATGAAATAATTTCAAACTGTTATAGGAATTAAAATTATATTATTTACCTGGATGCTAGTTCATAACCTCTCTGCCATTGACCGGCTTTATTTAATAAAGTGACGGCTTGCTTAATATCGCCAACTCGAACAAGTAATTCCTCAGCTAACTCAAATTCTTCAAGATCAATCATTTGCTGGGATAAAAGTGTGCTATGCTGTTTAAGAGCTTCGACATCGCCCACTACCTAAAATAAATTAATCGATTAATCATGTACATCTATTGGTAGGTCTTAATCCCATTAAAGTCAGTGTTATTCGATTCACTGATGAGATATCAAAAAACTAAAATAAAACAAGTAGATTTATCACCCAGGCATTTTTGCATTGTTATGTCCTTATTAAATTTCGTTATTGATATTTTTACAATTAACTCAAAATTATTTGCGAAATATGTACTTTACCTAATTCTTTAAATTCTATTAAATCAATTACATTATATTATTAAATTAATCACATTATACAATTACAATGTATATTAATTTAAAATAATCTTTCTCTGGGACAGTTCTCAAGGATTCAATGATATAAGGTTGTCAAATATATCCCTTCCGCCTTTTTGTATTATAAACCAAGAGCAAAAAAGCGGAAGGGAGATATTTGACAACCTAATACAAAAATGAACATATTAAATAGTATAAAGCAAACCCTAATTGACTGCCCTTGGTAATTCAATTTAAATTGACAAACATCTTCGTACAAAACAATTTATTTGCAATTTTTTAATATCTAGACGAAAGTCATGAGGTCAAATTTATGGTCGACCAGGCTTTCTAGTTTAACGCATAATCTTTTCAGTCTAATTTTTCAGTGGAATAAAGTCTCTAAATGATATACCTGTGCAATTTGTATTGCTTTCCTCCATTGTTTAGCACCAACTGCCGCATCCAGAGCTTTAATGGTGCAACCCGCTTCGATGTAATGGTTGATGGCCGCGTCAAATTGTCTTTTAGATGTTAGCCAATCGCCCCATTGCTCCTCCAAACTTGTTACCATATCAGGATTAACCTTTCTTGATAGCTCCAGAGCTTTCGAGAAATTACCACCTAAGTGTCAAGTAAATAATAAAAAAATTGCACTCTCAAAATTGTTTAATAATATATAACTTTTCTTTATATTTTGGCCATTATGACTACTAACATTATTGAAACAATCTGACGAGTTCATTTATTTTTCTTTTTGACTAAAGCAAGTTATATCAAAATAACTTTAATATTAATTAATAATACTTTCCTCGAGTATAATATTGTATAGCTTTAGAACTGTTCTTTCTTTGCAAGGATAAATCACCAGCAAGTTCAAACATTTCATTTTTGATTAAAGATGCATCGATATCTTCAATCATATCTCCTTGCTGCAGTAATTCGACGTGTTGCATTGCCAATCGTGAAGCTCTTGCCGGACGATTTGCCTGAAATAATAACATATTCAAATAATAGCAAAATCAACAAATATTTAATACTACGACAAAATTTTGAATCTATGGAGTAATTAATTTAATTTCTAATGATAAATTAGAATTAGTTAAATTTGAAGTGTTTTTACAAAATGATTTATAAAAAGATTTTTATTTTTATTATATGTTTTAAATATATATGAATATAATATAATTAGTATCATATTTCATAAAATGTATTTTTTTTACCTTTAGGTACATTTTCAGCGCTTCTTCTAAATCACCCTGCTTCTCAAAAACTTCACCAGCCTTTTCTTCTTGACCTAATAAAGATTCCAAAAATTTGATGAAATTTTGTATCATGTATTATTTTTTACACATTTAATTTATGATTCAAATATTCCAAAATAACATTCATAAACTTCTCGTAAGTCAAGAAATTAAAGTAGCAAAAATAAAAACAACTTTTGATCACCTTATTTCAAGACCTCCAATATTAAACAATCTTACCTAGTGGGGCGCATGGCATCGTGCCTTAAGGCAAATTGCTGGAACTTTCCGTACCAATTTTTTTTTTAAAGATTAACATTTATGAAAATAATTTACTCTGAAAAATTAGATTTTTGAGAAACTAAAAATTTTTGACAAAAATTTACTTTTTTTTTGAAAAAAAAACTTGAACTTGAAGAAAAGTGTATTTTGAAATATTTTGAAAATTCTGAACTTTTTTTCAAAGCAATCGTACTGCTTTAACTGCATCGAGATGAAATATCGAAGCGCCGCCGTCTAACGGATAAACATTGATACGAAACCCATAGAAATGTAAACGAAATTCATACTTATTGTTAAAATGTCTATAAAATATCTGATAATTTGATGTGCATATGTCTATTGATCATTTTTGACCGCCAGATGGCATTTTTTTTACTTTTTTTACTAGATCTCCGAAACCGTTAGACCTGCCTTTATGAAAATTTGATCAGTTTTTCATCTTGTTAATACAAGTAAAATGTTTTTTGAATTATTCTAATCGGACGCTCCGTTCTCTTAAAAACTGAGTTATCGTTTTTGGCAATTTTGCCCCATATCTTCCGAACGGCTAGACCTGCCTTTGCCAAAAACTAATTAGCACGTCTCCTTATCAATACAAATCGAATGTTTTTTGAATTATTCAAATCGCTTCATCCGTGTTCCCGAAATCGTCGACGAAAATTTGTATCCGCAAACACATACACACGCGCACACACACACATACATACATCAATTTTTTCTAAGGTGTGTCAAAATATTCAGAACCCTCTGAAACGTAAAAATATATAAAAATTTTCATTTTCGATTTTTTTGCGATTACTATAACTTACCCTACGGGAAGTTAAAAAAAGCTCATTTTCTTGTTTTTATTTCTTATCAAACTTAACATGAAAATACCTGTTTCTAATAGAAAAGACATTTGCTTTTGTTTGAGATCTTTTAAATTATGATAATTTCTTCGTTCAGCTAACGTTATTACTTCATCCCACATATGAAGTTTTTGGTACATTTTCAGTGCAGATTCAATATCTCCTTGCTCTAAGTATATTCCTTCTGCAGTTTTGAGATCTCCAGAAAGCATTGCCATTCGAGCCCATACTTCTGGGCATTGCATTCCTAAAAATAAAAATAAAAGTTGAATTGCAATCTGATTGTAAACCCAACATATATTCACAAAGGAAACATAAACGTTGATAAATAAACATAAGCGTTTACTTAAAAAAAAAATGTATTATCTATTTATAAACCATTATATGTTTGTCCTGCTTATTTTGCGGTTTCAATTTCTTAGTAATCGTGTCTAAGCTCGGCTGATCACAATCCATCAATTTTATTCATTTTTATTAAATTTTCTAATTCAACCATATAAGATTTTATCTTACCATCAACGGAATGTTCCTTTTCGTAATCGTCAGCAATTTTGATTGTTTCTTGTAAGTAAAAAGCCTTCGATGCATCGCCCAATGCAGCAAATGATCTTTCGGCCACCTTGAAGAGCGAACTTAATTATTATATTACCAATAGTGCAAACTAATATAAATATAATCAATTTTGTCTACCTTTAAATTATTGATTGATAAAGCAATATTTGCCAAGTTATGCCACATGGCTTCAGCTTCAGGTTTGTCACCTAATTCTTCCAAGAAAAATATGGCACGACCAAAATCGTTGTCGTGTACCGCGGTGCCAAATTCTACTAAGCCTTTAATAATTAAATACAATTTACTAGTAATTATTTTCAATATTTATCATTGTCGATTATTTAATTTTTGAAGTAATACAAAGCAATTGTGTATTTAATTAAAAACAGAAAAAATGTTTGGAGCTTGGAGATATAAAGAGTAGAATAGAGTCCAAGAATGTTCAATCGAATGTATTGATGATTTGAAATTAATTTTAAAAGAATACTAAAAAAATATTTTACCTTCGTCTAATGGGTATGAAATAGAACTTGGTCCATCTTGCGCCAAAGCTTCCGTCTTTCCGGCTTCTCTATTAACATCGTAGAGTTCTCCTCTAATAGGAACAATTGATACGTGTTCTGGTAGATCAATATTGTACCAAACTGCCATATTATTCCCAGATTGAGCCACAGCAACATCACTTCCAGGAACCCATTGCACAAATGCTACTCCGCTCAATATTGTTTCTTTGTGACCTTAAATTTAGATAGAATATGTGAGGAATAGATTATTGTGAGGCAAGCTCAAAGGTGTATAAAATTTACTTATGTGAATATAAGCAATAGCCAAAAAATATTAGTATATATAGTTTAAAAACGTGTATTACTTCAAAAAATATTATAGCTTGTGAATTGCATAAAATAACTTTACCACTCGCGACGTCAATTAGCATAAGCCGCTGCTTTTTGTCTCTGAAAAGAAGTTTATGGGCAGTTTCACTCAATTCCAACCAGTCAATTTTTGAATCATGAGATATTTGTGCAATGACGACCGTTTGTGGAATCAAATCAACGACACAAATAGTTTTGAGATCCAGCAAGTACGCTAATTTCTTGCAATTTACATCTTGAGATCGTTCGTTCAGACGAACCGAAATAACATGAGGATTCATAAATTCTGTACGAACCTAAAAAAGGTATAGATAAAAATTATTAATATTATATAATAAGATATATATATATATATATATATATAAAATTTTATATTAATTTTGATAAATTATATATACATATATATATATATATATATATATATATAATAGTGTAGTTTATCACAAATTAATCCTTGTATCGCAATATGATATTGATAAATTTCAAAATATAACTAATACAATTTGTTTTCCAAGAATTTATCTTACCGATCCAAGTATTATGTTTTCTCCATATTCAACTAGTGACAATTCGCCGGCGTTAAATATGAGGCATACATTCGCATAATCAAAGAAAAAGCGCTCATTGTGTCCTGAATTTGTCCAATGTATTTCGCTAATTAGACTTCTAGTCAAATCTGCTAATATCAAAGTATCATCCGTTCGTGCGACTAAATAATTGTCTCTGCCTAACAAAACATACAAAATAAATTTTGAAGATAAATAAATTTTAATTGTGAACTAATTTAATATAGTATATAATCAAGCAATTTATTATTATGCCACATTTGATGTAAATTACAATATCGTTAATTATAATTTCATCCTTCCCGAAATTCGTATTAGGGATTTCAATTTAATATCACTAGATTTCTTTAGCACAAGTTAGGTTTTGGTCATTATTTTTTAATTAGGCAAAGTAGGGTATTTGACATAAAAATGATATGACTAATATAATTGCTTTCAAAATAGTATTTGGCTGATATCTAATATAATTGCTATAAAAGCTGATATCTAATATAATAAATACCCATAACTCGAACATCATCAATTTCACGACCAAATTTGGAACGTACGATCATATTCACAGCCGAATCGTTATTTCCTTGGGTTTTGACCAGCACTTGATTTGGTCCAACATAGGTTAATTCATATTTGTCTTTCCACAAAGTCCTGTATAAAACAAGCTTTATTCTTTTAAGTCCATATTATTTAATATCAATTCAGTACAACCACGGTATCATAATACTTACTACGATACTACTAGTGTTTTAATTTCATTAAATTATTTAATTTCATTAAAATATTAATAAGTTCGAAAGATACATGTGAATTTTTTTTTCTAAAAAAGTTGAATTTCAAGAATGCTTGAGCTAGTAAACTGATGTTTCTTTCCTAAGTTAGAATGAGAATTTTGGTTTCAAAAGTCAAAGCATTGTTATTTCTGTTGCATTTGCTGAATTATTACTCAGTTAATCTCAACCTTTGAAATAGTTTTTGTAAAGATTATTGTTACTTTTGCTCAATGAATATCTATGTAATTGACACAAATCTGACATGAAACTCCAGAAATTTGATATCAACATACTAGCTATTTTTGCTTCATAAATTTCATCATTAACATAGATTTCCAACTTGGCGCTTAACTCGAGGGCATAATTTAAATCAAATATGGTTTTAACAGATGCCCAATTAAATGTCATTATAAATTTACATTTCAAACAACATTTCTGAAAGAACAAATGGGTCATTCTTTTACAAAATGCATGGATTTTGGGAAAAATGAATGTCACATTTCAGAATTGTCTGAAATTTTATATTTAATATTTTTTTATGTAACAAAGTCTCCAACAAATTGTAAAAAGAAATTTGTAGCAGATTTTTGTTTTCTATCGATTCAAGTTTTGGGAAGCGTGGGTAAAACCTTAGTGAACAATTAGGAGTTGTTCAGGAAAAATCCTGAAAACGTGTCAGATAATTTTAAGTTCAATATTTGTAAAAAAAAGTCAGACAATTCTGAACACGAAAATGTCCAGGTCTGGTTGGTGTGCGGTTTGTAAAAGATTGATTCATATATTTATCTAGTTACGTTCTCACCTCCGCAAAACAGACTCGAAAACTTCAACAGCTCCGCAAAGAGAGCCTAAAACAACCCGAGAACCATCCCGTTTCCAAGCCATAGCAGTTACGGTGTAAAAATTTGGAATGTCACGTGGCGGACCTTCTTCCCAAGTTGTCTTTCGTGAATTCCAGTCATAAATTCGAATCCGATCGAAGCTGCCAACTGCTACAGCCTATATTATTTTGATAACCTCAATTATACACATTATAAATTTTGAATATTATGTGAATTGATTTGGATTGCAGTTCTCAAAATTAATCTACGCAAGTTAGATAAAAAATCTTGATTTTGATCCTACAATTGCACAACAAGGACTAGGTCAAGGAGGTTAGAATATATGCGAAACTCTATAGATATAAATGAGATTTGTTTGTATTTAATAATATATTAAAATTATTATGCATTTATAAATATTGTAGAACCCTAACAACATCTGTGTATTTTATTTGAAAAAAAAACTAGCAAAAGTTGTAGAATTTTTTTTCAATCCTAAAAATGTATGTATGTATATTAAATTACCTGCCCACTTGGACTACAACACGCGACTGTAAATTCTCTTTCATTATCGTCCCTTGTATAATCAAACTGTTTAGTAATTTTGCCTTGGGCATCATATATGCAAACTCGGCGATCACATCCTCCAACAAGTATCTAATTGTGAATAATTAGTGATTAATTAATAATGTCAACTGATTTGATAGTATAACAAAACAAAGTTTTTTAATATTTTTGGTTAGAAACTGCTTAAATACCCATTACTTCTCTTAAGCGCAGACTTGTATACCAACGCAGTTTCGAGAAAAAGGAATAAATTACTAATGTCTTGGAAATGTTATCAGAACTAGAAACAATTTCATTTGCATGGACAATTTGGATTTTCAGTTAAACAAATAATTTTTAGCAGTTTATACAAACTATTGCAAAACAATTTCAACTCGCTCGCTGTTGAAATTTAAAAGTCTATCTAATTTCAGAAATGGAAAACCTATCATCTTTGAAAACAAATTTGCTTTACCTTTCAAATTAACGCAAAGTACTTTATTTTTGAAACTTAAGTTTTACACTTCCAATTGAATTGAACCATAATGATATCTCTTACTAATGATTTATATTTTTACCTGCCCTTGTAACCATGCAAGTGCATATGGCGCCACTGAATGCACCAGCACACGTCCTTGTTGCTCCGAATGACCATCGCTGGTGAAAAATCTTACTATTGTGCCATCTGCATGACCAGAAAGAAATCCTGTTCCTTGATTATTACTCGCCAATGAAACGGCAAAGCTATCAGTAGTGTAAAGCGTTTGAGATTTGTTAGTTTTTAGATTTAGTAGACGGATTTTGCCATCTGCCAGTCCGCAGATTAAAGCCCCTTTAAAAAATAAAATATAAGTTAATAATAAACCAATGCCTATGCTTTGAAAGCCACTAGTTAATACGATATACACATTAGAGTATAAAGAAAAATATGTGGTTGATTATAAAAGCATATACGAATAAAATTTACTAATTAGGATGAATCTAAGGTTTACGTTATCAGTTACGTTATGTTTTAACTACCTGAGAGCAACCATATAGCGCAGGTGACAGCAGAACCTTGTGCAAATTTATTACAAATTGCCTTCTTATCACCCCAATTGTCGCCAATTTTGTACACAAAGACAATACTATCAGATTGTGCCACTGCAAGTTTTGTTGAGTCCGGTCCAAAGGCCAAGGATTTGATGATATATGATCGTTTACCATTTTCAGGTTGGCTTGGTTTGGTCGAAAATTTGTCCCGTCTTTCTCCATTTTCATCGAATAAAAGAATTGTTCGGTCGGAAGTCCCAACAGCGAGCTTTACATTATTGGGCGACCATGCCAAAGCTGCTATGCGATTTTCGTGGTCCTGATAAAAAAATGTGTGATGAGAGCAGAATAAGAAATCAAAATATTGAGTAATATTAATTAACCCTGTCCACGCGCTAATTCCGGAATTCGTATGTATGTTGCCGCCGGGGCGGAGGCATCCTAGTGGAAAGGGTTAATTAGTTATTGATAGAGTATTAAAGTTCAAGTTTCATTAAATTTGCGTTATAAATATATTAAAAAAAATAATTACACACTTTACAAAAATCTGAATCTATGGTATAACAAGATAAAATATATTATCTTATGAGATATTAATAATTAATTAATTTATTAGACTTTTTTTTGTTATTATTATTTTTTGTAATTTTCAAATTACAAAAGCAGATAAGGGATCAACAATGCAAAATAAGTTAAAAGCAAGATAAATATTTCATTAGTTATTGATTATGTATTACATTCTATCTCTCATTAATTTTATTTTTGTAATGTATAAAAAGTATTAAATACAAAATTTGTGAAAATGTAAGTCAATGCATTATATAACAAAATACAATATATGATCTCATGAGATTATTAATAATTATTATTAATTAAGTTTTAATGTTCAAATATATAATATTTTAATTAATGTTCAAAATAATATTATTTTCAATATCACATAAGAGATCGCATTGCAAAACAGGTTAAAAACAATATTAAAATATTTCCTTAGTAATTGATAATGCATTAAATTACATATTCCATTGAATTTACTTCACTAATGTATGAAATTAATAAGAATGTTAAAAACAAAGTATAATCTTCTCCAATCGCTAAATGCAGAATTCGGGCGGCATCCGAGTGGAAAGGGTTAACAAATTATGAAAAAATTTGTGGTATAACAGGATATGATATGATAAATAATTTCATATAACTCATAATCTAATCATTAATTAAGTTTATCAAAAATATTATTTTTTACTACTTTCAAATCTCAATAAACATTTTACACAAGAGATATTGATATTAAAAATTAATGTATTTAATTTAACAAATCAATTTTAAATTATTATCTAGTTAGTGTAAATTTTTGAGCACTTTCTTAATTATCATTTTAAATAATAAAGTCTTTAGGTAAATGTAAACTACCCTGTAAGCAATACACATTTCGGAATTTTAAAACATACAATCAAATGTTACATGATTATAATATTCATACAAGCCAGAATAGTAACCAAAATAATGTTTATATTTTGACATATCAATATTAAATAGTTTTCAAAATTCATAAAGTTGGTCAAATAATTAGTTCACCTTCTTAATAGTAAATTATATCACCTTATGATAAATGCAAACTACAGAATAAAACATACATATTTTAAAATCTTAAAAAAAAAGAAAAGAAAAGAAAAAAAAATGATATTTAAAAACAGTAGTTCTTATTTAGACATATCAATATTAATTCATTATAGAGTCGGTGAAATATTTCGAGCACTTGCTTAGTTAAAAATTATACTTAAGGTGAATGTTAATCGCAAAGTAAAACATACCTGTGCATTTAAAATAGATTTTAAATATTTTAGCTGCATTTGTTTTTATAGATAAACCAAACAATGTGCATGTTTTATTTTGATCGAAAGGAACTGTTTTTATTAGCGATCACCATGACGACGGTTCCAAAGAAAAACATTACTAGTAGAACGGAATACATAGAACATAGAATCGACATGGTATCGACCTGGACCCTAGGCAATATTAGAATACCCTGTGTTCATATGGACATGGACTGTAACACAAAAAAATGATTTTGTTTGTTTTCAAAATAAAATTTTTCGTGTAATATATAGAGGATTCTGTACTTTTATCAAGTCAGTTTTAATTTTAATACCACTTTTAATTAAAATATACAGAATATACAGAATAACATACAGAAAACGCTACAAATTTGTTTGAAAACTGAAAAATAAGATTTTTGAGACTTTTTTTTAAATTTTAATTTTAATTTGAAATATTTGGTATTGGCTGGGTAGAGACAAAATATCGAAACGCTTAAGCTCCGATTCCTCAGAAACTCAAGTGCCGTTTTTGACACTTTTTTCTCGTATTTTCGAAACGGCTAAACCTGTCTTAGCCAAAAAGTAATCCGCACGTCACCTAAATCATAGCGATCGATTGTTTTTTAAATTATTCAAATCGGTTGATCCGCGTTTCCGAAATCGTCGATAAAAATCTGTATCCAAACACACACACATACACACATCATCCATTTTTCTAAGGTATGCCAAAATGTTCAGATACAGTAAAGCTATATAAATACTTTCGTATTCGATTTTTTACGGTCACTCCACCCTACGTGAAATTAATATATTAGAATTTTTTTCAGTTTAAAATTTGTGACACAGGTTTTGTGCACCTCACATAGGTATTATAAAAGTATTACTAGTATAACTAGTATTAAATCAATATATATTAATAACCAAACATTAAACCAGCATTATATCAATATATATTAATTACCAGTATTAAATCAATAAACATGAATTATAATAAAAATTATAATTTTGTTTAGTAACATTATATTAAGATGCATAAATAAATTACAAAAAAGTACATCAAATCTAAAAATAATCATAACAATAAAATTTATCAAATACGCATACTATTTTTTTTTTAATTTTAAGTCCAACTATTAATTTCTTCATTTTTTAAACTCAATTTCACATTGCAATCACACTTGCGCATCAACTGTAAGAGAATAACATCGATTATAATAAAATAATAATAAATTCTAAGTTTAATTTTTAATATTAAACTTTGAATCATGATTAACTTTAGAGACATAAAATATTAATGACGACATATAATGTTATATAGATCTATTTTTAATATTTGGATAAGCAAAATGTAAATACTTTTTTACCACAATACTTGTAATTTTTCAAAATCGATAATTTCAAGTTATTGTAAGTGAAACCGAATATTCACAATTGATAAATGAAATAAATCATTTTCATTCATAATAGTGGTATAGGTTCTTCTAATATAACTTAGCAATATCCGACATATTACTTAGTCACTTTTAGTATTCAGGCCTATATTTTATGTAACCTTCAATTATTGAAAATTGCAGGATGAGAAAGCTGATTTCTCAGAATGTTTTCATTTATCTTGATTATATTTGTCAGGAATTGTAATATATTGCCACTTAAAATGACATTATTGACACACGCTTTTATAATATTGCCATATTTACCAATACTTTGATGTGAAATCATTGTTAAATTCATTAAACTTCTCAAACAACGATTTTAGTTTGTCCATAGGCGGTAGAATTGATATCGCGATGTGATATGTGCCTTCTTTTTGACCGAATTCTGATCCAGGTACAACAAGAATTCCAGTATTTTCTAACAATTCGGACGCATAGAAAAAATCGGGCTCCTGACATCTTTTTTTCGCTTCTTCTACAGCCTTTTTAGCCAAGCATATGCTGGGAAAAGCATACGTTCCGCCTTGTATAGGATGACATTTAAATCCTTTTAAACAGTTCAATTGTTCCTCTACAAATTTTGCTCGTTCTGCATTAGATGAACTTATAGCTTGAATTTCAGAACAAAATTGGCCGAAAGATTCTGATTCTTTTGAAGGAGGTTTTACCTAAAATTAAAAAAAAAAGATTTGAATTTTTTGAATATCTCATAATGATTACGATCACAATTTGGACTATGATCTACTTTTATTATTTAAGTGTAAAGAAATGCTTACAATACAATCTAATACTGCTTGACCTGGTGTAGCGCAGGCTAAACGATTAGCCAAAAGCTTTAGTAACACGCCTTTAACATCGGGATCCGCATTTACTAATTCCATATAACCTCCTCGAAAACCACTTTCACCATACCATCCTTTGGATATTGACATAAACGAACATAACTCACTTTGGTCATAAGGTGGTCCCATTTCCTTCATCACCTAAAATAGAAGAAAAGAAATATACTTATATCAACTAAACATTATATCCTTTCATTTAATGCTGTGAAATTCTGGAACTATATAATTTCTAAATTAGGGTACTAATTAATTGCATTATTTTACTAACTTTTTTGAAAGAAAGAAATTGTAGGGATTTGTCGTGAATATTATGCTGATAAACTTCATCTGCTAAGATCATAAGGGATTGTTCATTCGCAAACTTGATGATATCTTGTATGGTCTCTTTTGTTAGAACTTGTCCCGTCGGATTTCCAGGGCTAATTATGAGAATTCCACAAGGTTCTATGTTATTATTTTTAGCTTCTGTTATTGCTTTTTTCATTTCTTCTATATCGAATGCCCAACCTTTGCACTCGTCTAAATAATATTTGATAATTTCCATGCCAGAACAAGATATGGTAGATCCATGCAGCGGAAATTGGGGATATGGAATCATAATTCCTGCAATATATTGAATGTGTTACAATGTGTTTTTACTGTTGATGGTCAATTTAGTTGTACCTTTCTTTTTATCGCTGCTTGCAAGCAAATCAGTTATACTTGTAATGCCGGATACAATAAATATATCATCGACATTAGCCGGAATGCCATCTCTATCCTCAATATATTCAGCAATATGTTGTCTAACAACAGAAATTCCACGGAAATCTGCGGAAGAACCAAGGCTCTGGTTTGTAGTACTGCGTATAATAGCCATCGCCTGGCTCTTTGCGTCTGTTGGAAAATTTGGTTGACAACATAGTGTTGGACAAGTAGCTATTGCAACCACCTGTGAAAATATCAAAGATATGTAAGAAAAACTGTCTTATAAAACGTAACTAGTGAGGCGCATGGCATCGTGCCTTAAGGAAAATTGCTGAAACTTATCGTACCGTAATTAAACATTCAAGAAATGAAAATAATCAATAATTGTTTTGAATAATTTCAAATTTTTAAATTAGGCGAGGAGCGTATTCTACAAACAACTTTGTGTATGTTTATAAGAAATTTGTTATAGAAGTAAAACTTCTTTAGGCGCACCTAGGGTGTAAATCTGTACAAATGCAACGGAAGTGCGTTACGGCAGATAAGATAAGAGTCGAGTCCCAATGATACGTAGTTGAGAGATCTGTCGTTGTATGCGTACCGGCATCAACGTTGTATGCGTACCGACGTCGACGTTGTATGCGTACCGATATCAACAAGGAAATCGACATAGAAAACATAAACATTTTAAAGTTACATCGTAGTACAAATCTTGATTTAATGAAAAATGCCTGAATTAAAAGAATATTTTACTCTGTTCCAAAAGATAATAAAACATTTGTGCCGTTTATTGATTAGATATTATTTCTATATTATTCGTAGTTTCTATAAATCTTTGAAGTTATTAAAATGGAAAATATTTTTTAGGCAAGATAGATATTACAGCAAAAAAATACCATCAGTCAATTAATGTATGTTACTTTTAATTACATGAAGTTCTTCAAACACAATTATTACATGATGAGTGAAGTTGCGAAAACAATATTTGTTTAAGCGTTGTTTAACATAATCCACTGCGTGAACGAATATTATAGAATTTATTAATCAGAAATTACTTCATTTCTCTAATGAAGGTTTATTTCTAAATGCTAATTACAATGACAAACCGATCATGTCATATTTGAAATATGACTTTAATTACATTATTGTTTTTAAATATTATACATATTTTTAATGCTATTATAAATATCTAATTTATAATTTATCATTATATAAATGTGTGTAATGGTTGACAATAATAAATGTGTGCATCACGAGTGTTACCATATTACTAATAAACACTATTCAGAATTGTTATATTATGTATTTATTTTATTAATTAGTTAATATTGCTTCAATTGCTTCAAAATTTGCCTAAAACAAGAAATAATTCAAAAATATTTAATTGTAATAAAACACTTTAAAATAATTATTTAATATAAATAATATTCAAATAAACATGATATTGTTGATTCGGATGATGCATCTTATTGCTAGCCATATATTATGTTTTACCATATTTAAGGTGAACATACGTCCCGATGTGGCCGGGACAGTCCCGGATTTCCACCTTGTGTCCCGGGTTTTTCTAAAAGCAATATTTATCTCGGATTTAGATCTTTTGTCCCGGAATGTCCTGTTTTTTTAATTCTAATAGGCAAATTAACAAAAATTACAAAAAATAAACGAACGAGTGTATAGAGTTTTTGACTAGAGAAATTGAGTAGGCTCAAAAGCGAGAAACAGAGATAAAACATAGATAAAAGAGTATTACATATAATTGAATAATAAAGTTCTTTCTAGAAGGCCGCAGATCCGATTAAAAAAAAATTATATAAAAAAATTGATTTTTAGTGGTTTTTTACCTCTTAATAGGTGGCATTTGTTAATTTAAAGCAACCCCCCCCCCTCATGTCCCGGTTTAGCATAGCTAAAAATTGTCGTCCCGGTTTTGACTTAAAAAAATATGGTCACCTTAACCATATTGCTTGCCATATATTATGATTGCCACATATTAATTGTTACAAACTTTTAAACTGTAATTTATAGATAATAATATTTAAAATTCTGCTAAAGATAATATTTAGGAAAACATATGTTTGTCATTATATTAGTTGAGAGATCTGTCGTTGTATGCGTACCGGCATCAACGTTGTATGCGTACCGACGTCGACGTTGTATGCGTACCGATATCAACAAGGAAATCGGCATAGAAAACATAAACATTTTAAAGTTACATCGTAGTACAAATCTTGATTTAATGAAAAATGCCTGAATTAAAAGAATATTTTACTCTGTTCCAAAAGATAATAAAACATTTGTGCCGTTTATTGATTAGATATTATTTCTATATTATTCGTAGTTTCTATAAATCTTTGAAGTTATTAAAATGGAAAATATTTTTTAGGCAAGATAGATATTACAGCAAAAAAATACCATCAGTCAATTAATGTATGTTACTTTTAATTACATGAAGTTCTTCAAACACAATTATTACATGATGAGTGAAGTTGCGAAAACAATATTTGTTTAAGCGTTGTTTAACATAATCCACTGCGTGAACGAATATTATAGAATTTATTAATCAGAAATTACTTCATTTCTCTAATGAAGGTTTATTTCTAAATGCTAATTACAATGACAAACCGATCATGTCATATTTGAAATATGACTTTAATTACATTATTGTTTTTAAATATTATACATATTTTTAATGCTATTATAAATATCTAATTTATAATTTATCATTATATAAATGTGTGTAATGGTTGACAATAATAAATGTGTGCATCACGAGTGTTACCATATTACTAATAAACACTATTCAGAATTGTTATATTATGTATTTATTTTTACTTAAATGCCATCTTGTACAGTAGCAAATAAGTTTTACTTCAATCGCGTGTGAATCTTAGGTGCACTCTTTTTTTTTAATTTGACTTTTTTGATAATTTAAAAATTTTTTCAATAGTTTGAATTTTTTTCAAAAACTGCATAACCGTTTTTACACCCTTTGCGCTCCATACCTCCAGAAACAGCAAAAACGCCTTGCGATCGAGACGAACCAAATGATTTTTTAATCAGACAAATCGGTTATTTCAAACTGTCGAAAATGTCGAGGATATTTGTTTGAACCATATACTTGAATTTCAAAATTAAAAATCTTGGTACGGAACCCAAAAAGCACCATATTTTAGTCATAGTGTGTTATTGTTTCTTTGAAATACTTTGTTCTTTGTAACAAAAATATAGTTCTGCAATATTCTACTTGGAATTCTACATAAATAAGGTTCCATTTGTTATATCTGGTGACCGCTTTGTGATTACAACTAAAAAGCCAGCCCGATTTAAAAGCATTATGAAAAAAGCCGCAAAAAGTGACCTAGTCAATATATATGTATATAATATATATCTAAAACGTCCTTTGCTAAATTATAAGAAATGTTAAAATGAGGATATTCTTCATTATATGATATTAAGCATTACGAAAAAAATGCTATAGAACTATAACTGATTAATGCAACAAATTATAAGCATCAACAAAGTAATAAGTATTTTCAGTTCATAATTTGAGTTGAAGGAATTTTAAGTTATCTTTTAAACCATTGTATATGTAATATAAGTGGTAATTAATAAAAAGTCATTAAATCAAAGTCAAATATTTTCTAATATGTAGCCAAAGTCGCATATTTGATAAACTCAAATTTACTCTGAATAAAAGTTTATATAGGTCTATAAATATGCATGCTAGTATTACTATTGATTAAAACTGTAAACCTAATACTAATAATTAAAACAAGAATGCTTATACTCGCCTGTCTTATATAAGTAATAGGTTTTTGACCCATAGATTGACCATCATCAGTGTTTGCTTTTATAATTTCATCAAAACACAGCGTTTTGCCCTGTAAAGTTTGATACATTAATTAGAATATATACAAAAAAATCCTATTTTACTATTTGTTGATAAATTTGAGAAATATAAGATTTTACTGGATCCAAAGCGTAATGAACAAAAATCAATCAATTACGTTTAAAGTTTTGAAAGCATTTTTGCACTATACTGGACTTATATGTTATATTTAGCTTACTAAGAAGAAATTTTGATTTGATTATAAAATTATTATTTTATTTTAACAGTGTGTTAATTTTACTTCATCCAGTTCCTTTTGAAGCTCATCAGCTCTTTCAAATAGGGCACCACATAAAAACTTTGCCTTAACGATGTTTTGGTTGATACTGTCTAAAGTGATAAACTTCTTTGGTTTCTCATCTTTTCCATTTTTTCCATCTTCGGTGCATTTGCAAGCCATAATGTTTTTAATATCACCTTTTCCTAAATATTTTTACAAAAAAATAGTGGCAACCTTAATGATTTTGATAGTTTTAATATTTTGAACATTTGTTTTTGATTTAAATGAAATGTCAAATCTTATTTACACGTGATAATTTACTCATCATTATCATTATTATTTATGATTTAATGCATAACAACATTTTATTAATTAGTTAATATTGCTTCAATTGCTTCAAAATTTGCCTAAAACAAGAAATAATTCAAAAATATTTAATTGTAATAAAACACTTTAAAATAATTATTTAATATAAATAATATTCAAATAAACATGATATTGTTGATTCGGATGATGCATCTTATTGCTAGCCATATATTATGTTTTACCATATTTAAGGTGAACATACGTCCCGATGTGGCCGGGACAGTCCCGGATTTCCACCTTGTGTCCCGGGTTTTTCTAAAAGCAATATTTATCTCGGATTTAGATCTTTTGTCCCGGAATGTCCTGTTTTTTTAATTCTAATAGGCAAATTAACAAAAATTACAAAAAATAAACGAACGAGTGTATAGAGTTTTTGACTAGAGAAATTGAGTAGGCTCAAAAGCGAGAAACAGAGATAAAACATAGATAAAAGAGTATTACATATAATTGAATAATAAAGTTCTTTCTAGAAGGCCGCAGATCCGATTAAAAAAAAATTATATAAAAAAATTGATTTTTAGTGGTTTTTTACCTCTTAATAGGTGGCATTTGTTAATTTAAAGCAACCCCCCCCCTCATGTCCCGGTTTAGCATAGCTAAAAATTGTCGTCCCGGTTTTGACTTAAAAAAATATGGTCACCTTAACCATATTGCTTGCCATATATTATGATTGCCACATATTAATTGTTACAAACTTTTAAACTGTAATTTATAGATAATAATATTTAAAATTCTGCTAAAGATAATATTTAGGAAAACATATGTTTGTCATTATATTAGTTTTTTTAATTATATACAAATATAATATACAAACATTGAGATTATACATAACAGGTATGCCAAAGAATGGCCATTAATTAATTGTATAAAACTACAATTTGATAGTTAATTCTAATGATTCAATATTTAGCTTTAGTTACCGCTGAACAAAATTAGTGATTCAAATATAATATATCAAATATATGTATTTTATTCTGTGAACGATGAGTAAAAATTCAGTAAATAATTTATTACCAATTCTCAAACGCCAAACTTGAACCCGACAACATTTTTAGTTCTATTGGTTTAAATATCATTTTAAAAATTGTTTATATTCTGGTTTTCACTATAAGCTATACATATAAATCATTCAATAAAATCATATAGGAAAGGGCAAAATTATCACAACAGACTTATAGTTATACATTAACTAGTTTAAAAATAAATATTATAATAAATATAAAAAAAATAAATCATTGCTGTATCTTACTGCAAAGTATAGAAAATTAAATTCTTGGAATGTATGCAGATGAATATTATGGAAGGCAATATGTAGAATTATATTTATATATAGCTATACATATTGATGATGAATAGAATATGTTCAACAAAAAATTAGCTTCGTTGGAAAATGCAAATAAAAAATAAGTAGTATACTGAAGTTAATATTATACATAGCAAAATATCAAGGAACAAACGTTTCTTGCAAATTGTCATTTGATAAAAATCTGACACTTCTTTCACGAGTACGATTTATCTGTACTGTGCACAGAATTCTTTGTGAAACTCTGCGAATTTATTTAACATATCCTTCAGCATATCCGTCTGTGGTAAGATTGTCGTTCTGATGTGATAAGTCCCTGGTTTTTGCCCAAATCCTGATCCTGGCACGATGCATATACCTGTTCTCTCCAGCAAGGCAAATGCATAGAATACATCTGGTGATTTACCAGCCTTGTGAGCTGCTTCGATGGCTTTTGGTGGCAGTTCGATCATGGGAAAAGCGTACATCGAACCTTGGACAACATTGCAAGAGAAACCTTCGAAACTGTTGAAGGCATCGGCTACGAGTTGAGCTCGCTCAGCTAAAGAGTTGAGCACGTTTTGCTTTTCTTTAATAAATAGATCATACGAAGGTTCACCTGGTCGAGGTGGATTCACCTAAAATTATAGATATAAGTGATATTACTTTTTCTTTTTTTTCTTTTTTGGCTTCTTTATTAATTTTCTGGTTTTCGATTATTCTTTATTAACAACTATTAACTTCACAATGTACTCTTTTACATTACAGTGTGAATCAAGCTCAATGTTAATGTAAAAAAATTGATGTGTATATATCGCGCATACCGACAATGGGAGCGCGTGTAAGTAATACTTTTGATTCGTATAATTATCGAAGTTTGTTCGTAGTTACGGTAATTAATGATAATTACGAAACACAATGAAAAACTCTTTTAAGAACAACGGTGAATTGAATAACATATAAAGCCTCTCTATTAAGCTTCTTAAATGATCAAGCAAACTTTGAAGAATCGAAAATTAAACATTTCATATTTGGTAAGATTTTATAAATGCGCTATAAAAAATACATTAATTAATTTTAATAGCATATGGAAAGTGCGATATGTGTTTATGGTATTCTAGGAAATATTTAGATACATTAACTATCGTGAAGCGAGAGTTGTGTAAAGATAAGAATATACATACATACACTTTAAATATTTGTGATAAAATGACACCAATGAATATAAATAAAAAAATAAAATGTCAATATTCAATTAATTTAAGTATTACGGTGTTCTATAAGTTTTTTTGTACTGATGTAAGCCATTGCCTAGCAGGTTTCAGTCCTGCACGTTATCAACAACCAGGAGTTTTATATATTTATACTTTATTTATTATCATCAACAACCAGCATTTCTACCTACACAAGTACCTGCCAGATGAAGGAAAAAATGCAATGGGAAAGTGCAAGAACTCTTTTATAATATAATATCACTTATATTGTAAAACTATATATGAATGTAGTTAACAGATATTGAAGCATACTAAAATTAAATATAATAATGGATTATTTTACCAATTTTTTGCGAAACTAACAAATCGTCAAAAAACTTTTTTAAGTGATATATTACTATGTATGTTAAAAATAAGTCATTATCGAAATAAATACCGTAAAACCGTTAAGACGATTTCTTAGCGACCGCTATGTGATCGCCTTAGCGAGGTTTTACTATATGTATTTATATATTATTTTGTTAATAGGGGAAGTTATAGTAATTGCAAAAAAAATTACTATAACTTGCCCTACGGGAAGTTAATAAATTGATTTTTTTTATTTATTTTCATATTTTTATATATTTATACATTTTGGCGTACCTTAGAAATATTAATGCATATGTTTGTTCGTGTGTGTGTATGGATGTGCGGATACAATTGGTCGTCGACGATTTCGAGAACACGGATCAATCGATTTGGATAATTTAAAAAACATTTAAAAAACAACAACAAAAAATTTTATTTGGATATTGATAAAGACAGGCAGATTAGTTTTTGGCAAAGTTAGGTCTAGCTAGTGATGTGCCGACTCGAAAATTTCCTGATTCGAGTGATTCGAATCAGAAAAAAACCTGATTCGAATCATGATTCGAATCAATTCGAATCAAGTTCATATATGAACAATTATAATTTAAGAGAAGAAATAATATCATTTTAATAATTTTATAAGTGAAATAATTAATTTAGTAAGCAATTAATTCCAAAAAGTGCAGAGATGAATACATTTATACTATATATATAATAATAAACTAGCTACAAATATAACTAATCTTTCAAGTGAATTTACAGTAAAATATAACCAAACACTTCTCTATCACTAAAGCATATAAAACAATATTCTTAATCTTACGTTGAACGAATGCATGTGTATATTATTGATTGTTTAGATCTAATCTAAACAGGGGGCTGAATCTAACGTCTTACGAATGACTTAAAATTCAATCCACTACTGTAAAGATTGATATTATTTCATTTGTGTGAATTTGCCATTACTTGCATAATTAAAATATAATAATTTTGTATGAGTATAAAACTCGTTGTGTAGTTTATTTTGATAATAATTAAAATCTAAATCGCGTATTTATTATCTAAATGAGTTTTTGATATTTCATGAACAAATTTGCTCACAGCGCTCAGTCAAAAATAAACAAACACTCAAGACCCATACGCACTGCATCTCCATAAGTCGATACGCTACACACGGACACATGTTTCGAACTCAAGTCGGTATGATTCAGTTTGAGTCATATGAACTCGGATAAATTCATACCGACTTGAAGTCGGGATAAGTCGGTTTGAGTCATAGGAACTCGAATCAATTCATAACGACTTGAAGTCGGGATAAGTCGGTTTGAGTCATAGGAACTCGAATCAATTCATAACGACTTGAAGTCGGGATAAGTCGGTTTGAGTCATAGGAACTCGAATCAATTCATAACGACTTGAAGTCGGGATAAGTCGGTTTGAGTCATAGGAACTCGGATGAATTCATATCGACTTGAATGCGGTTAAAGTCATATAAATTGGAGTCGGGTGATACATTTAAGCGTATTAAAGGCGGGTGACTCGCATGATTTAATTCAAGATTTATTTTTTATATTTATTATTATTATTTTTTATATTTATTATTATTATTATTTATATTATTTTAATATTGAATTAAATTAAAACATTTTTTTTTAAATTTATGAAAATTTGTGTTCACACATGTTTTATCACAGTAAATATTTCGCGGCTTGATACGAGTTGATTCGAATCAAGTAAAATCTGATTCGAATCAAGTCGTTAAAGGCTTGATTCGAATGATTCGAATCACTTGATTCGACTTGGCACATCACTAGGTCTAGCTGTCCCAAAGATACGGGGCAAAATAGCCAAAAATGATAATTAAATTTTTGAGAGAATGGAGCGTCTAAGCGATTTGAATAATCTAAAAAATATTTTATTTGTATTGACGAAATAAACAACTGACAACTTTTTTGGAAAGGCAGGTCTTGCGGTTTTGGAGATCCAATAAAACAATAAAAAAAATGCGGACAAAAATGATCATTAGACATATGCACATCAAATTATCAGACATTTTAAGACTACGAATAAATTTTGTTTACATTTCTATGCTTACATACGCAAAAGAACGTATCGCGATTGCTTTGAAAAACAGTTCAATTTTTTAAAAAAATTTCAAAGCATAAAAAAAAATACAAATATTTCAAAAAAAAATCAAATTATACGTCGATGCATAAATTGCATTGGTTTCATACATAAATCCAACTGTCTAAAACTTGGTGGTACATGAGTGTACCACTTGTACCGAAAGGGTTAAGAGTCGATGCCATGCACCACTAATCAGTAGTGATGTGCCGACTCGAAAATTTCCTGATTCGAGTGATTCGAATCAGAAAAAAACCTGATTCGAATCATGATTCGAATCAATTCGAATCAAGTTCATATATGAACAATTATAATTTAAGAGAAGAAATAATATCATTTTAATAATTTTATAAGTGAAATAATTAATTTAGTAAGCAATTAATTCCAAAAAGTGCAGAGATGAATACATTTATACTATATATATAATAATAAACTAGCTACAAATATAACTAATCTTTCAAGTGAATTTACAGTAAAATATAACCAAACACTTCTCTATCACTAAAGCATATAAAACAATATTCTTAATCTTACGTTGAACGAATGCATGTGTATATTATTGATTGTTTAGATCTAATCTAAACAGGGAGCTGAATCTAACGTCTTACGAATGACTTAAAATTCAATCCACTACTGTAAAGATTGATATTATTTCATTTGTGTGAATTTGCCATTACTGGCATAATTGAAATATAATAATTTTGTATGTGTATAAAACTCGTTGTGTAGTTTATTTTGATAATAATTAAAATCTTAATCGCGTATTTATTATCTAAATGAGTTTTTGATATTTCATGAACAAATTTGCTCTCAGCGCTTAGTCAAAAATAAACAAACACTCAAGACCCATACGCACTGCATCTCCATAAGTCGATACGCTAAACACGGACACATGTTTCGAACTCAAGTCGGTATGATTCAGTTTGAGTCATAGGAACTCGAATCAATTCATAACGACTTGAAGTCGGGATAAGTCGGTTTGAGTCATAGGAACTCGAATCAATTCATAACGACTTGAAGTCGGGATAAGTCGGTTTGAGTCATAGGAACTCGAATCAATTCATAACGACTTGAAGTCGGGATAAGTCGGTTTGAGTCATAGGAACTCGAATCAATTCATAACGACTTGAAATCGGGATAAGTCGGTTTGAGTCATAGGAACTCGAATCAATTCATAACGACTTGAATGCGGTTAAAGTCATATAAATTGGAGTCGGGTGATACATTTAAGCGTATTAAAGGCGGGTGACTCGCATGATTTAATTCAAGATTTATTTTTTATATTTATTATTATTATTTTTTATATTTATTATTATTATTATTTATATTATTATAATATTGAATTAAATTAAAACCTTTTTTTTATATTTATGAAAATTTGTGTTCACACATGTTTTATCACAGAAAATATTTCGCGGCTTGATACGAGTTGATTCGAATCAAGTAAAATCTGATTCGAATCAAGTCGTTAAAGGCTTGATTCGAATGATTCGAATCACTTGATTCGACTTGGCACATCACTACTAATCAGTATAACTCTCCACAGTAAGCTATTCAAGTAATATCTCATTTCATTTTAGTATTTTGATTACTCAATAATATATACTTACCACAGCGTCAACTGCCACTTGACCAAGAGTGGCTGGTCCGAGTACGGTGGAGGCTGCTTTGAGCAACATTGTCCGAACATCAGGATGCAAGTTTATAATTTCCATGTAACCTCCTCTCAAACCACATTCTCCATGCCAACCCTTAGATGTCGACATGAATGATGCCAATTCAATGCGATCGTAAGGTGGGCCCATTTCTTTCAAAACCTTTAAAAAATATTTAAATAAATAAAGAAAATATTAAGTAATTAAAACTAGAAAATTTATGATGAACTATATTAAATGATGCAGCAAAGCCATCAATAGAGTTGTTCGAAAAGTAACTTCGTTTTTTATGCATATTTTATCATGTAATTTTCGTACAATAAACAAATACTTTAATAATTTATGTATTGGCTATTTCTATCAAACATCTTTTGTCATATTTCTTAGCCGTTATTATAAAATTATAAACATGTTTGGTCGTTATTGGCAAAAAACTGATCGAAGGGCTTTTTGACTTCATCATTTGAGGTAAAGGTTTTACCGTCTAAAAACTTTTTTAGTAACCGGAACAAATAATGATACAATGATGACAAGTCTGAAGAATGTGATGAATGGCATTCTGCCCCAATTAAAAGCTTCTGGCGATGCACCAAACTTATGTGAGGTCTTGCGTCTTCTTGATGCAATACCTTTTGCTTATGGGTTAATTCTGACCTTTTCTATTAAAGTACATAATTTAGTGTATCCAGATGATGACATAAGGCATCCATATTAACTGTTATATTATCTGGAAAAATCTGAAAAACAAACATTCCTTTAAAATCTCTCCAAACATACTGCATCACCTTTTATTGGCGAATTTCAGCTTTGCAACTGCTTCAGGTTCTCCTGTTTTGCTTCATGGGCAATTGCGTGTATTGTATCCTTTACATCTAATTTGACATTCTTAGTGATAACTTGCTTCAAAATCTGAATATTTTTAAGACTTTTCAGAGGCGAATAGCAGACGCTAGTGCGACGACACAAGGTTTCTTCTATGAGAACCATACATTGAGCTTCGAGAAAAATCCCAGACCTTTTTAGTGGTCATGAACTGTTAAATTTGATAAACTTAAACTCAATGAGATCTCTCATTGTTATTCGCCGGTTTGCAAAAACTAATGCCTTTCTCTCATCTTTATCAACTTCAAATGTACTTCTTGGACGTGGTGCATCTTGGGCGACAAAATACCAGGAATGAAATTTAGCAAACCAGTTTTGGCACTGTTCTGTCCTATCAATACGTCATTTTCATACATATCGATTAATTTTATTCTGACTTAAACAGCATTTTTACCTTTTCTATAGCGAAAGAATAGAATAGATAGATAATGCTGCTTATTTCTTTCAGTATTCAAAGTGGCAACATCCAAAAACTACATCGTGTAATTGGTTAAAATTTTTTACTCACAAACCTTAAAATATAAGCTTATAGGGCTCAAGTGTGATCATAGATTCAAGAATATATAGTTAAATCCTAGGTGGTAAAATAACGAAGTGACTTTCCGAACAATCTTATAGTTTGCAAATTGTTGATGTACAATTGATGTAACAGAAATATAAACGTTGGCTATTAAATATTTCAATATATAAATTACAATATGATTTTGCTTCAGGTTCATACTTGCAAAAGCACTATGAAAATCTTATAAATTTAAATTAAATCATTATGTTTTGCGTTTACGCAAATGATAGAAAACATCATTTTCTTTGTGAATATTAATAAAATATTACTTGTTTCTTGTCTTGTAATGTGTTATTTTTTCATTACTAAACAGCTATATTCCATTAAATAATTATGTAAATTTAATAGATTTAAAATTTGTATAATTTGACCAAAAATGTTATATATTTGCTTGTAATTATTCTTTTCCATAATTAATAAAATTCATTAATAGATTTTTGTAAAAAATGGAAAAATTTGTAAATTACAATTTATAGTTAACCAGAATATTATAATAGCTAACTAAATTCATAATTATATTTGATCAATAAATGGAAATTCAAATTTGTAGTTTTGTAAATCGACTCTGACTCTTATTTTGCTTAATAATTAGGAATTATTGTCTTCAGACAAATATTTACCTTTTTGAATGAATGGAATTCGCACTCTTCCGCGTAAACATTGTCTTGATAAACTTCGTCAGCCATGATCATCAGTCTTTCTTTATGAGCGAATTTAATAATTTGTTCTATATTACGCCTTGTCAATACTTGTCCTGTAGGATTTCCAGGATTCATTACAACAATGGCTCTAGGTAAAATATTATTGTTTCTTCCTTCTTCGACGGCCCTGTCGAGTTCGTTCATATCAAGAGCCCAATTGTCTGATTCATTTAAATAGTATCCTATCTGGCCCATATTGAATTTGGCAACATTCGCCGAATAGATTGGAAATTGAGGAATGGATACCAGAATACCTGAAAAAGAGCATTGATAGAACTATTAGGTTCAGCACCAAAATTATTAAATATATCACGATCAAACTTCAATGATCATCAAATCTTCTAGCATTAGTGAATGTCTTATCATTTCACTTATTATATTGATAGCTCATAAACTACTTCACTGTATATTAATACCATAAAGATGACGCTATTACAGTTTTATTAAAGTATAATACAAAGTATGTAATATAATATTGTGTAATAAGCTATTACAACTATTGTTTTATTACTAATAAAACAATAGTTCAGCTCATAATAAATATTTAATAGATTACCTACATTTTCCTGAAATTTTAGGACTGCACTATGTTAATTATCATTCTATAATACTTCATTTTTATGTCTCTTTTTAAATTCAATTTCAGTTACATCTGCTAACATCAAATTTCTTTAAATTTTAGTTACAATTACAACATTAGTTAGTTTCGATGAAACACAATAAAAAATGAAGACACTGTTGCGAAAGAAACGACATACATATGATGATTTTTTTAAGATTAATAGTGACTAGTATAAATTTTCTGCATTCTTTTAAAAAAATCATTATCCTAGAAATTTATTTAGTGTTAACATCAATTAGACTTTTCAAAATTTGACAAAAACGTTAAGATTGAATGAAACATATAATCCCATAATATTAAGGCGACAAATTTTAGTTATGCTAATCCGTGAGGGGGAGGGGGTATGGTAATTATGATTTGGAAATAAATATAATAAAAATCTAAATAAATCTTTTTTTAAATCAGAAATCATGACTTTTAAGTAAGATATTTGTATCAAAAAAAACACACCGGTTGACAGTTGTCAGTTAAAAGTAAATGTCATGGATAAAATATGAATCATCAAATCAAATCAAATTTGAATTTGAATGAGAAACGTCTTTTTTCTGGCTCTAAATTGCTTCCCTGCCAATTTTCAGCTAAATCGGTTCAGCCGTTCGTGAGTTATAAGTGTTGTAACTAACACGATCCTCTTTTATATATATATATATATATATATATATATATATATATATATAGATTTCGGAATCTTTATAAAATTTTATTCAATTTTCTTCGAAATTTTTCTACACTTTTCGAAAAGCCGGGACAGTCCGGGACAAAAGATCTGAATTTAGGACAAATATTGCTTCAAGAAAAACCCGTATACAAGGTGGAAATCCGAGACTGTCTCGGCCAATCCGGGACGTATGGTCACCTTAATAATATATACGTTCTTATTATAGTGATTTATTAGATTTGATTCTTATTTTTGTAAGTTATTGATGTCAAAATGAAATTATGTTATTGTAATTATGAAATTATATATTGGTAATTACCAATATTTATTACAAATGCAGAATTTATAACAAATAGCCATTTGATAATAAATAATGAACATAACATAATAATATTAGGTATCAGTAAAAAATAAATAAAGAATGTGCTAAAAATAATTTCTAATTAGTAATATAGCGAGTATCGTATGATTAGTACCAGGTTTATTGCAAAATGATACTTTCACATTTAATATGCACTACTTTCTTAATGCATAACGCGGTGCAGGGTTTATGCATTACATGCAAAATTGGTATACGTAAATTAAATTTATATATATATATATATATATATATATATATATATATACATATTAGGTAGATTCATTTAGTATCGACAACTATATAATTTTCAATTCTTTACATCATTAATTTTTCAATTGTTTATTTAGCTTTAAATAATTTTAATAATAATACAGATTTGGTACGCAACCTAACAAAATTGTAACAAAAAAATTAGTACTCATTTTTAAAAACTTTATCAATTATCTGATAATTGGCTAATCAGCACGTCTTCTTATCAATTGAATGTTTTTGGAACCATTCAAATCGGGCGATTTGTGCGCCCGAAATCGTGGACGAAAAATTGTATCCAAAGATATATTCTACACACACACACACATACATTCATTTTTTCTAAGGTATGCCAAAATGTTCAAAAACCTTTGAAAGGTACAGGAATGCAAACAATTTCATTTCCGATTTTTTACGATTACTATAACTTACGGGAAGTTAATAAAAACTTTAAATTGATCTGTATTTGTTGTGATTTACTTAATTAATTTGTTGTGATTTACATAATTAATGTTTTGAATAATTGTAAATTATTTTGATAAATTTAATCTGTAAGTAAAAATTTGATAATGTAACTTAATTCATCCAAAATTTTTGCCCTTTCCTATTAGATGTGCAACCATAAGTTTTATTGCAGTTATTAATTAAAACTTTTAACTAGAGAACTATTTGAAATAAATTGAGAACTATAAAATTCTGCAAACGTAATAAAAATTAATGCTATAAAATTATGACTAAAAACGCTTTAATATAAATTAAGAAAATGATTATATAATTTAATTATGTTATAAAACAACGAAACGAAAATATTCGTTTTATGCTGTATTAAAGCACGAAATTTGTTAATTAGCCAAACTTTTATGCGAGATACGTAATACTGCATGTAGTAGGAAGAACGAATTTTAAAATAAAAAAAATACTTATTCACAAATTTCGTTTTTCGAGTTTAACTGAAGACAATTTTTAATTCTAGCAAATGTATATGCTAATCTTAATTATTTTTAAATTGCTCAATATGAAGTATAACTAGAGGTGCATGGTATAGTATCTCAAGGCAAAATGATGAAAGTTTCCACAAAAAAACTTCAAATTCTTTTAAAAATTCTGAAAAATGAAAATTTTGAGAACTTTGTAATTAAAAAAATTTTTTTTTCACATATTTTAAACTTTTTTTAAAGCAATCTTGCTGTCTGGATGTTTTAGAGAAGATACGGTTAACTAACGGATAAACATTGATGCGGAATCTATAGAAAAGTAAACAAAATTTATACTTATGATTAAAATATCTATAAAATATTTGATAATTTGACGTGAGTATGTCAAATGATCATTTTGACCGCAAAATGGCATTATTTTTCACTTCTTTTCACTCAATCACCAAAATGGCCAAATCTGCCTTCCAAAAAATTTAATCAGTTCTTCATTGTGTCAATACAAGTAAAATATGTTTTTTGAATTATTGGCGCTGTCTTTGCCAAAAACTAATCAGCACGTATCCTTATTAATAAGAATCAAACGTTTTCTGAATCATTCTAATCGGTTAATCTAAACGCACACACACACATACATTAACTTTTTCTAAAGTATTCCAAGAGGTTCAGAAGCCTTTGAAACGTAAAGGTTGTATGGAAAATCAAGTTATAAACTTATAATTTCAATTTTTTCGCGATTACTTTAACTTACCCTATGAGAAGTTAATTAATAATTATTTCTCACCTGCTTTTTTATCGCCTTCATTGCATGCCAGCAATTGCATCAATTCTGTGATCGCCCCAGTTGCTCCACAGGTAAGTAGTACATCTTCTGCACTGGCCGGGATGCCGCCATCTCGCCTTTGGATATACTCAGCTATATGTTGTCGAATAATTGGTATACCTGTTGATTCGGAATAGGAACCAGCCGAATTTCCCGAACAACTTGCTAAAATAGCTGCTGCCCTTTCCTTTGCATCAGAAGGAAAATCAGGACTGTCCATCAAAGGAGGAAACGCCACCAGGGCTATTACCTTTAAATGACATAATATAAATTTTAGTAATAGAAAGTAATAAATTTAATGATTAATAAATTGACATTGAAAATCAAAGGCCTATGTAAAAATAACTATGCAAATATTTATGCAAAAGCCTATTGTTTGTAATATTGTACTATTAAGTTCTAAGAATTAGAACGTTTAGCATTTGATTTAATGAATAGTGAATGAATGACGACGTATGCAAAAATTTTAATTATTTGTATGTAAATTTTTTTGGTTAATAAGTATTTTAATGCTTAAAACTCATAAATATTATCTTATTCACAATAAATTAAATCGAAGATGCTTTATACATAAACCAGCCATAGATTCATCAATTATTAGATCTAATAATTATTAAAATAATAATGATTCTTATGTATCATGGTATTCCCAGGTATATTGTATTTTTTTGATTTTTTCTCAAAATTAAAGGAATTAGTTTAGTAAAATCATTTTATATAATTATAGAATAATATCAGTTTACTAGCATGATAATTTCATGATGTTTTTTCAGATGACTATTTGTCAATCAATTTATCTTCCTTCGTATATATCAATAATAGAGTCTTCAATAAATTTAATCATTAATTAATTATTCTTAGTTATTTTGAAGTCAAATAAATAAAAATTGGGTTCAACTTTTACGCCTCCTCTTGACTAAATTTTTTATTATTAAATTTTAATTGCAAAGTTTAGAAAAATTGTGATGAATACAAAATATTTTTTGCTATTTACATTTAATTACGGATGTTGATTATATACCTATTTTTACTGAAGTCAGTAAAAACTCATTTGGCTCATATAAAAAATGGATGGAAAGTAAATAGGAAATTTAAATGAAATGCTTTTTATCAAAAAATTCAAAATAAACATGATCAAGTGGCATCGTGATACTTGTATATAAAAATGTATATAGTTTTATATGTATATAGTCATCTAATTTAGTGTAAATATCTTTTTATGTCTGTTTCATCAGAAGTTTCATTGATGTGATAATTTTAAATATACTAATTGTTCAAAAAATCAACTCAAATCAACATCAAAAGACTAATTTCGAAATCAATAATTTACAAAAAAAAGGATATATTACCTGCCTGATGAAAGTAATATATTTTTGTCCCATACCATGACAATCGCCAATATTTGCTCTGATGATGCGTGAGAACGGCTTCTTCACTCCCTGAAAAAAAATTTTAAGTAGTAAGAATAATTAGTTGGCAGTAAAAATAATAAAGGTTATTGACATATGTTTCAATTTATATATCTAATTTATAAGTTTCATTACTTTTATTTCTAATATATATTAATATTGTCAACATGATTATAAAGAACAATATCTAATTATGGTATCTCACGAATGCCAGAGGGTTATTTTGAATTGCATGCATATATACATGATACAATTAATGAATAATTTTGGCGAACCTGTTTGATTTCATTTTCAATTTCAGCCGCCCTGATAACAATTGGTCCTCGCACGATGTATTCCATAACTTTAATATTGGGATTGATTTTGTCAAAGGTGATGAAGTAGTCATCTTCACTTGTATTATAATCTGGTTTCCTAGAAGACTGTGGTTGTGCACTCAAATGTCTTAATGCGTTTTTAGCCGATTTTAAATTTTGAATGTTCGTTCCAATGAGAGTTTGGCAGTTTGAAATAACGCGCCCGATTCGATGCATTTTATGCCACTACTGCAACTACCACTACTATCAGTTATACCCGCAAACTAAAGTTGTAACCTTCAAAGTACAAGAAAACCAGTTATAAATTACATGTCAGACGTTATGCGTGATTTGCAATGAAGTTTTTTTTTTCAAAATCAAAATAATAACTACCCGGAGTGGATTGATTATATCTTGAGCAAAATCCCGAAGTTTTCAGTTGCCGTCTGAGACAAGAATAAATCTATACTTCAGACTTGCACGTTGCTTTCATAGAAAACACACTATTAGCACTATCAGCAAGAAAACAAACATGAACTGTTAGTAATAATTTGTTTTAAGTTAATTATTGACTCATTATTTTTATAGTAATTTGAAAATATACAGAAAATTTTAATAAATATTTTTGTGACACACAAGTATTACAATGTTTATTTATTAAATCACTTCAACTAAAACTAACTGAAGAACTTAATGTTCTCCTACCTGATTTTATTGACACAGCCTTCCTTTATAAAAAATATAATTATTTTTTAAATATTTGCCAACGTAATGCACTGATCACACAACAAGACTATTCCCAGTGAGTGAATGACTTTATTGTTGAATATGTTATGAGTTAGAATACAATAGAAATTTAGAATTTGCACAAATAAGCAATGTTACGATCCAATAATTACTTCACCACCAGTGACACTAAAAAAATCAGTTGTTCTTATCACTGATGCTTCGGTCTAACTGACTAATAAGTTGTACTTTGTTGAAATATGATTTAGTTTATAAAAAATCATTGCGTTAGCAAGCACGATCCTCAATCTGAAGGTCGCGTTTTTGAGGAGCCACGTGCTAAGATACGCGAATTTTCGCAAACAGTTTAGAAAGCAAGAACGTACAGTTCGAGCTATCTTTATGCTGTAGTAGTTAATACTGTCACACTATGCATATAATATGATTACTTCTGAAACTTAATACCGAGTAAACAATAAAACCAAAAAACTCATAATTTTGCATGTGTTAGCTAAAAGTTCGCATTTGTGAGTCAACAAATGCCACAATATAAGAAGTTTTAGGAAACTTCGAGCCATAGTTAATTATCAAAAGCAATGTGTGAAGATACTTGATTATTTACAACAAAAATTAATAAAATATTGAATAAAAAATAATTTATGCAAATATGTAAATTTCAATGTAGTAATTAAAAGTAATAATTGAGTTTTAGAATGGGTGCATTTCCATATATAAAGGGTGTTTTATTGACGATTTAATACTAGTGTTTTTTGCAGATTATGAAACATATATGATGAAGTGCTTTTGGAATCCATCAATAATTAATCGGATTTAATGAAGAAAAATGTTTTTATTGTAGTAGCATACGTTTCGAGTCTTTATACGACTTATCTTTAGTGTACATAAATAATCAAAACAAAAGCACAAATATTCAAATACTAGGTTACAAGAAGAAAGTCTAAGTCTCAATTGCCAGGTATTGATGAAAAGTACCTTTATAAATCTTTTCATTTATTGTATTAACTTCCCGTAGGGTAAGTTTAGTAATCGCAAAACAATCGAAAATGACATTTTTTATATATCTCTACGTTTCAGAAGTTTATGAACATTTTGGCATACCTTACAAAAAATGGATGTATGTGTGTGTGTATGTATGTGTGTGTGTGCGTGCGGATACAAATTTTTGTCGACTATTTCGGGAACACAGATCAACCGATTTGAATAATTTGAAAACCATTCGATTCGTATTGATAAGGAGACGTGCTGATTAGTTTTTGGCAAAGGCGGGTCTAGCCGTTCCGAAGATACGTGTCAAAAAAGGGGCAAGTGTCAAAAATGGTAACTCAGTTTTTAAGAGAACGGAGCGTCCGATTTTAATAAATTAAAAAACATATTACTTGTATTGACAAGATGAACAACTGATGAATTTTTCAAAAATGTTAATCTTTTTAAAGAAAAAAATAATTTTTGGTACGTGAAGTTCCAGCAATTTGCCTTAAGGCACGATGCCATGCGCCCTAAAAGTTGAATAAATATTTGAAGCATTAAATAAACAATTTTTATTTAATAGGAGGACATAGTTCAGGAAATGAAAAATCATACTTAATAATAGCTATTCAGAATAACTTTATATATGTATATATATATATATATATATATATATATATGCATTAATATTATTTTAGTATTATGATCAAAATATATGATCAAATTATTATCATTTAAAAAACAACTTTTAAATATCTAGTAAAGATAGACATGGTTTCATTAGCTTTTAAAATGATAAGAATTTAATAACATAGGAAAACTGTGCAAATAATACATAAATTAATATATATTTAACGTGTTATATTATTACACCCTGGTATAAGTTAAATCATTAGTAAACAAATATATAGAAAGATGCTTGAGAAATTATTTCTAAGCATGTATGTTGAAAAAAGTGAGTTCATACATATCTCCAATTACACCGTGCCATTAAAATGTCGAAAATTGCGATTATAATCCAGTTAATTTATGTGAATTTATTTCCACTATCGACTGGTTAATGAGATAACCTTTTGTATTTGACCCGCTTTACGCAATAACTAAACACGTAATTATACATATTCAATTTGTAATCTTAAAATGATTAAATTGTTATTCAACTTTCCTATCGCAAAAATTAAAACATTTTTTAAAGATTTTTGATACTCAAAAAATAATTTTAATATTAATGTAATAGCTGCTCATAAAATATAGGTTCACTTCATTCTTGTATTGATTTGATTTAATTGCTGTTTTATTTTATTGCATCAAAGCTATATCGTATATATATATATATATATATATATATATATAAATAGATTTGTAATAATTTATTAGATATTAGCGAAATCAAATGGCAAAGTTTGAAATACTATAACATTACTCAAAATTATCACATTATCAGAAACTTTTTTATTTCTTATAAGAATTGCAATTAAAAGTTTGAATTTTTTGAAAAAAAAAAATTGTAATTTGAATTATTACTGCAATATTTTGAACAGTTTGCGTAATTGCATCATTTTTAACTTTCCGTAAGGTAAGTTATAGTAATCGTCCAAAAATCGAAAATGAATTTTTTTCACGTTTAAAAGGTTTCTGAATATTTTGGCATAATTTGGCAAACCTCAAAAACTTAATGTGTGAGTGTATGTATGTATGGATCAACCGATTTAAATGATTCAAAAAATATTCAATTCGTAATGATGGGAAGAAGCGGTAATTAGTTTTGGCAATGACAGATCCAGCCGTTTCGGAGATACGGAGCTAAATGTGCAAAAAATTGTAGTTTTTGAGTGAACGAGTAATCCGATTTGATTAATTCAAAAAACATTTTGCTTTTGTTGACATTATGAAGAAACGAATAGTTTTTGACAACGCTTTTTTATTTCATTTTTTTTAATTTTCACAAAATAATTTTATTTGAATATCATAACTATCTATGGAATTCAGTTTTTAAAATGCTTAGAAATATGAGATAAGATCCATCATTCTGACACTGTTTCATTAATTTTTGTTTATTTACTTTTCATATAAACGTCTTCATCCAATGTATAAGACCCTATATTTTGTTTATAAATTACGAATAATGAAAGTTTATAAACAATATTCAGATCTATCTATTTGAAAACATTTAGTACTATTTGAAACATTCCTCGGATATTTCATTACGATACGGGAAGTTCTAGTAATTTGCCTTAAAGGACAATGCAATGCACTTACTAGTTGAGTTATATTAACTGAACATCAATCATTTGATTAGTTGGATTCATTTAATTATTATTTAAAATTAATAATTAAATAAATTATATTAATCATGTAAAAAAATTTTTGACAATATTGTATTTTTAGTAGTAATAAAGTAGTTTTAATATAATATATAAAAGTATAATATTTTCCTATACTATATTTAACATTCTTATATATTTTATATATATATATATATAAATTATTTACGATGTTTTATAAAATTTAATCAATGAAATAAAATTACGAGTTCGAGGTTTATGAATTATCTTACACGCGCCTCGAAGCAATTGGTCGTAAGACTAAAAAATTATGTTTGTTATTATAATTATGTATTATATATAGTATTATCTTGTTATTATATTATATCGGTATTTATATGGCACACACATCATATCAGCAATGTTTTATTTTGGTCAAAATTTAGCATTTGCCTAGAATTCCATGGGCGTTGTTTTTTGCATTTTTTCATTTGTTTTGGGACATTTCAATTTTTCTAATAAAATATTTAATTCAAAATTATTGAGATCTATTATAAAAATAAATCGGTAAGTATGGTACAGATAATTTATAGCTTTATATTTTATAATTAAATTCTCAAGGAAAAAGTCTATAATTTAGCCAGATAATCAAATTTGCCATTTTTATATTTTCTCAATGAATAAAGTCATTCGTTTCACACCAAAATTGTAAATAGCATGTGCATGCCAAATTTGACTTTTTGTCAACATTTCTCAAAAACAGCTACTCTGAATTAAAAAATTTTAAAAGCCATTTGATGAAACTCGATTAGGATTCGCGTTAGATAATTTAGCGACTGTAGACCTAGCCGTTTCTTTATAATTAGCAGGTAAGTGCAAAATTTTTTAGGTGTAAATAAAATGTATTTTTAGAACTTTAGGTAGAATAAAATGCGTTAAATAAAAAAAACTTAATCAATATAAAAACTTATTCATAGTTTTTTTGGAAGATTTAGTGAAAAGCGAAAACTTTTATCAAAATAAACATTTGTAAATTTTATTGTCACAATTTCAAAATTTACTAAATCTTTCAATAATTAAGTTAAATAATTGACATTTACATATATCTAAATTTTCATACAACTTTTAAAAACAATATGCCACTCACATCTATTTTTT